ATATATTATTTATACCATAGTATACTATAGTTTTTTTTCATGTTGGTCCTCCATCCCTCTCTCTCTCTCCTTCCTCCCTCCCTCTCTCTCTCTCTCAATTCAATTCCATTTTAATTTAAGGGGCTTTATTGGCATGGGAAACATGTTTACATTGCCAAAGCAAGTGAAATAGATAATAAACAAAAGTGAAATAAACAATAAAAGTTAACAGTAAACATTACACTCACAAAAGTTTCAAATGTCATATGTCCATATACAGTGTTGTAACAATGTGCAAATAGTATCTCTCTCTCTCTACCCTCCTACCTCCCACTGTCTCTCTACCCTCCTATCTCCCTCTCTCTCTCTACCCTCCTACCTCCCTCTCTCTCTACCCTCCTACCTACCTCTCTCTCTCCTCCTACCCTCCTCCTACCCTCCTACCTCCTCTCTTCTCCCTCTCCTCCCTCACTCTCTCTCTAAACCCTCCCTCCCTCTCTCTTTCCCTCCTCCCTCTCTCTCTCTACCCTCCATCCTCTCTCTCTCTTTACCCTCAAAATAAATCCATAAGCCCTCCTACCACCTCAACTCTCTCTCTCAGATCTAACCCTCCTACCCCCGCTCTCGATCGCTTACCCCTCCTCTCTCCCCTCCCGCCTCTCTCTCACCTCCCCCACTCCCCCCTCCCCCCTCCTCCTCTCCCTCTCCCCTCCTCGCCCCCTCTCTCTACCCTCCTCCTCCATCCCCCCCCTCTCTCTACCCTCCTCCCTCCCGCCCCTCTCTCTCTCTACCCGCCTACCTCCCTCTCTCTCTCTTAACACTCCTCCCCCCCTCTCTCTACCCTCTTCATCCCACTCTCTCTCTACCCTCCTCCCTCCCTCTCTCTCGCTCTCTCGCTCTCTCGCTCTCTCTCTCTCTCTCAATTCAATTCAATAGACTTTATTGACATGGCAAGTTAAATTACTTACATTGTCAAAGTATACATACAGTGGGGAAAAAAGTATTTAGTCAGCCACCAATTGTGCAAGTTCTCCCACTTAAAAAGATGAGAGAGGCCTGTAATTTTCATCATAGGTACATGTCAACTATGACAGACAAAATGAGATTTTTTTTCTCCAGAAAATCACATTGTAGGATTTTTAATGAATTTATTTGCAAATTATGGTGGAAAATAAGTATTTGGTCAATAACAAAAGTTTCTCAATACTTTGTTATATACCCTTTGTTGGCAATGACACAGGTCAAACGTTTTCTGTAAGTCTTCACAAGGTTTTCACACACTGTTGCTGGTATTTTGGCCCATTCCTCCATGCAGATCTCCTCTAGAGCAGTGATGTTTTGGGGCTGTCGCTGGGCAACACGGACTTTCAACTCCCTCCAAAGATTTTCTATGGGGTTGAGATCTGGAGACTGGCTAGGCCACTCCAGGACCTTGAAATGCTTATTACGAAGCCACTCCTTCGTTGCCCGGGCGGTGTGTTTGGGATCATTGTCATGCTGAAAGACCCAGCCACGTTTCATCTTCAATGCCCTTGCTGATGGAAGGAGGTTTTCACTCAAAATCTCATGATACATGGCCCCATTCATTCTTTCCTTTACACGGATCAGTCGTCCTGGTCCCTTTGCAGAAAAACAGCCCCAAAGCATGATGTTTCCACCCCCATGCTTCACAGTAGGTATGGTGTTCTTTGGATGCAACTCAGCATTCTTTGTCCTCCAAACACGACGAGTTGAGTTTTTACCAAAAAGTTATATTTTGGTTTCATCTGACCATATGACATTCTCCCAATCCTCTTCTGGATCATCCAAATGCACTCTAGCAAACTTCAGACGGGCCTGGACATGTACTGGCTTAAGCAGGGGGACACATCTTGCACTGCATGATTTGAGTCCCTGGCGGCGTAGTGTGTTACTGATGGTAGGCTTTGTTACTTTGGTCCCAGCTCTCTGCAGGTCATTCACTAGGTCCCCCCGTGTGGTTCTGGGATTTTTGCTCACCGTTCTTGTGATAATTTTGACCCCACGGGGTGAGATCTTGCGTGGAGTCCCAGATCGAGGGAGATTATCAGTGGTCTTGTATGTCTTCCATTTCCTAATAATTGCTCCCACAGTTGATTTCTTCAAACCAAGCTGCTTACCTATTGCAGATTCAGTCTTCCCAGCCTGGTGCAGGTCTACAATTTTGTTTCTGGTGTCCTTTGACAGCTCTTTGGTCTTGGCCATAGTGGAGTTTGGAGTGTGACTGTTTGAGGTTGTGGACAGGTGTCTTTTATACTGATAACAACTTCAAACAGGTGCCATTAATACAGGTAACGAGTGGAGGACAGAGGAGCCTCTTAAAGAAGAAGTTACAGGTCTGTGAGAGCCAGAAATCTTGCTTGTTTGTAGGTGACCAAATACTTATTTGCAAATAAATTCATTAAAAATCCTACAATGTGATTTTCTGGATTTTTTTCTCTCTCAATTTGTCTGTCATAGTTGACGTGTACCTATGATGAAAATTACAGGCCTCTCTCATCTTTTTAAGTGGGAGAACTTGCACAATTGGTGGCTGACTAAATACGTTTTTCCCCCACTGTATAACTAACTGTCATCCTCACCATTACATCAGTACTACAACTACCATCATCATTGCTACTACTACTACCAACATCATCATTAAACTGCTATCATTACCATCACCCCTACTACCCGTAAAACTACTATTTGGAATAATAATCACAACAATAATAATAATAATAGTAATAACAATAATACTAATAATAAGTAAGTTACTGCTTACTGTGCAGATGTTATTATTCAGTGTCCCTCAGGCTATGGCAGGTAAATACATACATGTATTTGGCTGCAAGAGTAGTCGTTGCTCCTTCGCCCATGAGTATTTTTTTGTATAGTTTAATAAGTTAACATTTGGAATAAATGTAGTAATATTTGTGAATAATGAATCTCTTGGTGAGGAGTATTTCTCACAGTAAAGGAGAAAGTGCATCTCTGTTTCTACCTCCCCTGTCGTGCAGTGACCACATACACACTCCTCTTTGGGTAGCCATGTCTCTTTGGGTAGCCATGTCTGCCGGTTTCTATTGCCAGTTGGTGGTCACTCAGCCTGTACTTGGTAAGGATCTGTCTCTGCTTCGTATCTCTGACAGAGTAGAGAAAATCAGCCAACTCATATTCTCTGTTTAGGGCCATATAGCAATTTGGTCGGCTTTGGGATTTTCTTTAGTTTTTTCAATGTTGTATATATGTCCTTTGATTGGTTCATGATTTTGTTTATTTGAATTATTTATTTTGAAGCAGTGCTGGTGTCAGCTTGGTTGGTTAGGTCCAACACCAGCTGACTGAGAGGGCTCGTTTCTGGGCTCAGCTCTTGGGTTTGAAGTGCTTTAAATTGGAGACTTGAATTTAGGTGTAGGCAAAACTGTTATGATATTTTTTGTATTTTCATTACCACTGGAAAGCGGCCTAATTCTGCCCTACATGCATTAGTGGGTGTATTTCTTTGGAGTGATGGAGTGCTGCATCAGATGACCTGGCCTCCACAATCACCCGACCTCAACCCAATTGAGATGGTTTGGGATGATTCGAGTGAAGGAAAAGCAGCCAACAAGTGCTCAGCATATGGGGGAACTCCTTCAAGACTGTTGGAAATGCATTCCAGGTGAAGCTGGTTGAGAGAATGCCAAGAGTGTGCAAAGCTGTCATCAAGGCAAAGGGTGGCTACCTGAAGAATCTCAAATATAAAATATATTTGTATTTGTTAAACACTTTTTTGGTTACTACATGATTCCATATGTGTTATTTCATAGTTTTGATGTCTTCACTATTATTCTACAATGTAGAAAATAGTACAAATAAAGAAAAACCCTGGAATGAGTAGGTGTGTCCAAACCTTTGACTGGTACTGTATGTATACATCATTGTCACAATAGATTGTACCTTTGTTAAGTTTTAGCCAAATGTGGTTAGTACCTTTTTTCATTTGTATTTTTGATTGATGGTATTAAACTTTCTCTATAGCCTGAGGGACAATGTCTCCACGACACCGTGTTTCCAGTAGGATTATGATGACCTCTCCCTTTATGTTTTTAAGACATTCTGGATTTGTTTTTTTATAACCAAATTCTGAAGAGTATAGGCCCTGGATATTCCAAGAGCTGATAGTTAATTATCTAATTTATAATAAGTGATATTCACTGTTTTGAGTAAAGTATATTGAAAAAATAAATAAATCAGAAAGTATTCAGACCCCTTGACTTTTTCCACATTTTGTTACGTTACAGCCTTAGTCTAAAATGGATTAACTTATTAGCAAAAACAGGTTTTTAGAAATGTTAAATTTTTTATTTAAAATAAAAAACAAATACCTTATTTACATAAGTATTCAGACCCTTTGCTATGAGACTCAAAATTGAGCTCAGGTGCATCCTGTTTCCATTGATCATCCGTGAGATGTTACTACAACTTGATTGGAGTCCACCTGTGGTAAATTCAATTGATTGGACATGATTTGGAAAGGCACACACCTGTCTATATAAGGTCCCACAGTTGACAGTGCATGTCAGAACAAAAACCAAGCCATGAGGTCGAAGGAATTGTCCTTAGAGTTCCGAGACAGGATTGTGTCGAGGCACAGATCCGGGTCTAGTAGAGCTGTGTTGTGATGGGCCGGGTCTAGTAGAGCTGTGTTGTGATGGGCCGAGTCTAGTAGAGCTGTTTTGTGATGGGTCGGGTCTAGTAGAGCTGTGTTGTGATGGGCCGAGTCTAGTAGAGCTGTTTTGTGATGGGTCGGGTCTAGTAGAGCTGTGTTGTGATGGGCCGGGTCTAGTAGAGCTGTGTTGTGATGGGCTGGGTCTAGTAGAGCTGTGTTGTGATGGGCCGGGTCTAGTTGTGCTGTGTTGTGTCTGGTCATGCTGTCCTGAGGCAGGTCTGGTCTGGTAAATCTGTGCTGTGGTGGGCCTGGTCTTGTAGAGCTGTGCTGTAATAAGCTGTGTCTGGCTCTTCTCTCCTGGGGATGGTGGGTGTTTCAGAAAGTGGAGCAGGGGGCCGCTGCTGCTGGGGTGATGGGTGTGTGGGTCCCTGCCAAGTGTTGCATCCTTTAGGTCCTTAGCAAAGCTTCTGACACTGACCTGATCAAGGTGTACATTGTCGTATAAGTGTTCAGATGTTAGAGTGGGATGGTGAGCCATTCTGACGTTGAGCAGTGAGGCACAGTCCACAGTCATCTGTTGATTTATTTTGTCGATCAACTGTCCTGGGAAGTATTTTCTTGGTAGGAGGGTGGACACAACTATATTGGTTGTTGGGAACATAGCCTGTGCCCGCTCTGCCGCTCTTCTCACTGCCCCAGATACATTTTCACCTTTGGCATGAAGGTCGTTTGTGCCAGTGTGGATGATGATGTTGTCAGGGGTGTCAATCCTGGTCTGATTGAGTAGCTGCATTGCACTCTCAGTTGCAGGACACCAGAATTTATACACCTGGTGTCTAGGGAATAATCTTTCCTGGACCAAGAACTTCCCATTTGAATCGATAAGGATTGCAGTTGTGGGTGGTTGTCTGGGTGGAGCAGACTGGGAGGCTGGTAGGTTGACCTGGGCTAGAGCAGACTGGGAGGCTGGTAGGTTGACCTGGGCTAGAGCAGACTGGGAGGCTGGTGCAGTGTCATCAGGCTGTGTGGTGGAGGCCATGCTGGTTATGCTGGTCTCAGGTTCTGCCTGTGTGGTACCAAGCTGGTGGACATGTTCTCTAGATGCAGAGGACATAATGACTAGCTACTGGTTGAGGGTGTCAATGTACCTCTCTCTCTGCTCTAGCTCTTCTCTTGTTGTGCTCAGATGGTCCCTGAGGTCATAATTTGTCTGACTCAGTTTGTCCATTCTGCTTTATAATTTAGCAATCGATGCTCTGCTCTCTTCCCTGAACTGTTTCACTGCTTATTTTAGTGTCATCCTCTTGAAGTTTGTTCTCTCTGAGTTCTATGACCTCTGCTTCAACTAGAGAGAGGGTGTTGTGGAAACGTTGCATAGCAGCTGTTCTTGGTGTTGTAGGCATGTTCTTGGCTCTGTCTGCTGCAGGTGAGGTAGGTAGCGGGACACCGAGGGCTTCTTGCTGGGTCACAGAGGCTGTTGGGGGTGTTGGGGCCTGCTCTCCTCCATCATCTCCCTCCTTTACCTTTTCCTCAGCTTCTGAGATGAGTTCAGCTTCTACTTTTAGGGTAGCAAACACATTCTCAAAAGCCTGGAGGCTTGAATCATTGCCTTGTATCAATACAGTTCCATTATTGAATAAGTTGACTGTTTGATGTGTTGCTCTGGTCAGCTTCTTCAAAAATGCTGATCTGACAGCCTTGGCTGATGCCTCTCTTTTTTGAGAAAGGGAAATGGTTGCGAATAACCCTTTTCCATATTTGCCCTCGTTTCCCTCCCCCTTCTCTTATTTTGCGCCCAGCTCTGCTCTGTTCCACGGGGACAAGAGAGCGAGGGAAAGACACGGGGGGGGTGTTCTGCCTCGTTTGCCTTTCATGTGTCTACAGAAGAGATAAGCAAAGTGATGTCAGCTGCAGCTAGCAGAGCGGAGACAGAGACGGCTCACTAAACACACACACACACACACACACACCCTAACAAAACAACTCCCCATAGCTCCCAGAGTATTGCTTTAACTTCAGCCCCTGTAGATAAATTGTTGTCCAGGAGCAGATACTGTACTCCTGTGGATGAGTCTCTCTCTCTCTCTCTCTCTCTCTCTCTCTCTCTCTCTTTCTTTCTTTCTTTCACTCTGTCTGTCTCTCTGTCTCTCTCTTTTCTCCCTCTCCCTTTTCTCTCTCTCTCTCTCTCTCTCTCTCTCACACACACACACGCCATACACACACACACACACACACACAGCCCACTGTCATCACATAAACTACAGTCTAGTTTGGGCATGTCTCTCATTAAATACAGCGTCTGGATCGATCTCACCTCCCCTGCTCAGTCTCTCTGTCTCTCTCTACACCAAACGTTAAGAACACCTTCCTAATATTGAGTTGCACCCCCCTCAGAACAGTCTCAATTCGTTGGGCATGGACTCTACAGTCGTGGTCAAAAGTTTTGAGAATTTATTTTATTTATTTATTTTACCTTTATTTAACTAGGCAAGTCAGTTAAGAACAAATTCTTATTTACAATGACGGCCTACACCAGCCAAACCCGGACGACGCTGGGCCAATTGTGCGCCGCCCTATGGGAATGACACAAATACTAATTTTCACAAAGTCTGCTGCCTTAGTTTTGATTATGGACATTTTCATATACTCCAGAATGTCATGAAGAGTGATCAGATGAATTGCAATTAATTGCAAAGTCCCTCTTTGCCATGAAAATGAACTTAATCCCCAAAAAACATGTCCACTGCATTTCAGCCCTGCCACAAAAGGACCAGCTGCCATCATTACATTTTAGTAATTTAGCAGACGCTCTTATCCAGAGCGACTTACAGTTAGTGAGTGCATACGTCAGGGCGCCCAAGTAAGTCCAGCAAGCGCCAGGACCGTCTCCTAAAGTTGATTCAGCTGCAGGATCGGGGCACCACCAGTGCAGAGCTTGCTCAGGAATGGCAGCAGGCAGGTGTGAGTGCATCTGCATGCACAGTGAGGCGAAGGCTTTTGGAGGATGGCCTGGTGTCAAGAAGGGCAGCAAAGAAGCCACTTCTCTCCAGGAAAAAGGGACAGACTGATATTCTGCAAAAGGTACAGGGATTGGACTGCTGAGGACTGGGGTAAAGTCATTTTCTCTGATGAATCCCCTTTCCGATTGTTGCATTCGGAAAACACCTTGATGGCGCTACCATCAGTCCTGTGTCATGCCAACAGTAAAGCATCCTGAGACCATTCATGTGTGGGGTTGCTTCTCAGCCAAGGGAGGGGGCTCACTCACAATTTTATCTAAGAACACAGCCATGAAGAGGACTGAGCACGCCCCCAATCTCATCGATGGGGCTGTAGTGGAACAGGTTGAGAGCTTCAAGTTCCTTGGTGTCCACATCACCAACAAACTATCATGGTCCAAACACACCAAGACAGTCGTGAAGAGGACACGACAAAACCTATTCCCCCTCAGGAGACTGAAAAGATTTGGCATGGGTCCTCAGATCCTCAAAAAGTTCTACAGCTGCACCATCGAGAGCATCCTGACTGGTTGCATCACCGCCTGGATGGCAATCGCTCGGCCTCCGACCGCAAGGCACTACAGAGGGTAGTACGTACGGCCCAGTACATCACTGGGGTCAAGCTTCCTGCCATCCAGGACCTCTATACCAGGCGGTGTCAGAGGAAGGCCCTAAAAATTGTCAAAGACTCAAGCTACCCTAGTCATAGACTGTTCTCTCTGCTACCGCACGGCAAGCGGTACCGAAGCGCCCCCCTGCTGCTACTCTGTTTATTATTTATACATAGTCACTTTAACTCTACCCACATGTACATATGACCTCAATTACCTCGACTAGCCGGTGCCCCCGCACATTGACTCTGTACCGGTTCCCCCCTGTATATACAGTGAGGGGAAAAAAGTATTTGATCCCCTGCTGATTTTGTACATTTGCCCACTGACAAAGAAATGATCAGTCTATAATTTTAATGGTAGGTTTATTTGAACAGTGAGAGACAGAATGACAACAAAAAAATCCAGAAAAACGCATGTCAAAAATGTTATAAATTGATTTGCATTTTAATGAGGGAAATAAGTATTTGACCCCCTCTCAATCAGAAAGATTTCTGGCTCCCAGGTGTCTTTTATACAGGTAACGAGCTGAGATTAGGAGCACACTCTTAAAGGGAGTGCTCCTAATCTCAGTTTGTTAACTGTATAAAAGACACCTGTCCACAGAAGCAATCAACCAGATTCCAAACTCTCCACCATGGCCAAAGAGCTCTCCAAGGATGTCAGGGACAAGATTGTAGACCTACACAAGGCTGGAATGGGCTACAAGACCATCGCCAAGCAGCTTGGTGAGAAGGTGACAACAGTTGGTGCGATTATTCGCAAATGGAAGAAACACAAAAGAACTGTCAATCTCCCTCGGCCTGGGGCTCCATGCAAGATCTCACCTCGTGGAGTTGCAATGATCATGAGAACGGTGAGGAATCAGCCCAGAACTACACGGGAGGATCTTGTCAATGATCTCAAGGGAGCTGGGACCATAGTCACCAAGAAAACAATTGGTAACACACTACGCCGTGAAGGACTGAAATCCTGCAGCGCCCGCAAGGTCCCCCTGCTCAAGAAAGCACATATACAGGCCCGTCTGAAGTTTGCCAATGAACATCTGAATGATTCAGAGGAGAACTGGGTGAAAGTGTTGTGGTCAGATGAGACCGAAATCAAGCTCTTTGGCATCAACTCAACTCGCCGTGTTTGGAGGAGGAGGAATGCTGCCTATGACCCCAAGAACACCATCCCCACCGTCAAACATGGAGGTGGAAACATTATGCTTTGGGGGTGTTTTTCTGCTAAGGGGACAGGACAACTTCACCGCATCAAAGGGACGATGGACGGGGCCATGTACCGTCAAATCTTGGGTGAAAACCTCCTTCCCTCAGCCAGGGCATTGAAAATGGGTCGTGGATGGGTATTCCAGCATGACAATGACCCAAAACACACGGCCAAGGCAACAAAGGAGTGGCTCAAGAAGAAGCACATTAAGGTCCTGGAGTGGCCTAGCCAGTCTCCAGACGTTAATCCCATAGAAAATCTGTGGAGGGAGCTGAAGGTTCGAGTTGCCAAACGTCAGCCTCGAAACCTTAATGACCTGGAGAAGATCTGCAAAGAGGAGTGGGACAAAATCCCTCCTGAGATGTGTGCAAACCTGGTGGCCAACTACAAGAAACGTCTGACCTCTGTGATTGCCAACAAGGGTTTTGCCACCAAGTACTAAGTCAAATACTTATTTCCCTCATTAAAATGCAAATCAATTTCTAACATTTTTGACATGCGTTTTTCTGGATTTTTTTGTTATTCTCTCTCACTGTTCAAATAAACCTACCATTAAAATTATAGACTGATCATGTCTTTGTCAGTGGGCAACGTACAAAATCAGCAGGGGATCAAATACTTTTTCCCCTCACTGTAGCCTCTCTACTGCTATTTTATTTTATTGCTGCTCTTTAGCTATTTGCTTTAATTTTTTTATTTTTCTTAATTAACATTTTTGTTTTACATTTTTATTTTTAAAACTGCATTGTTGGTTAAGGGCTTGTAAGTAAGCATTTCACTGTAATGTTGTATTCGGCGCATGTGGCAAATAAAATTGGATCTGATTTTATTTGAATAAAGAATGGTACCAACACATCCTCCGAGAGCAACTTCTCCCAACCATCCAGGAACAGTTTGGTGACGACCACTGCCTTTTCCAGCATGATGGACCACCTTGCCATAAGGCAAAAGTGATAACTAAGTGGCTCAGGGAACAAAACATTGACATTTTGGGTTCATGGCCAGGAAACTCCCCAGACCTTAATCCCATTGAGAACTTGTGGTCGATCCTCAAGAGACGGGTGGACAAACAAAAACACACAAATTCTGACAAACTCCAATTATTGATTATGCAAGAATGGGCTGCCATCAGTCAGGATGTGGCCCAGAAGTTAATTGACAGCATGCCAGGGCAGATTGCAGAGGTCTTGAAAAAGAAGGGTCAACACTGCAAATATTGACTCTTTGCATAAACTTAATGTAATTGTCAATAAAAGCCTTTGACACTTATGGAATGCTTGTAATTATACTTCAGTATACCATAGTAACATCTGACAAATATATCTCATAACACTGAAGCAGCTAACTTTGTGAAGACCAATACTTGTGTCATTCTCAAAACTTTTGACCACGACTGTACAAGGTTACAAGGTGTCAAAAGCATTCCACAGGGATGCTGGCCCATGTTGACTCCAATGCTACCCACAGTTGTGTCAAGTTGGCTGGATGTCCTTTGGGTGCTGGACCATTCTTGATACACACGGGAAACTGTTGAGCGTGAAAAACCCAGCAGTGTTGCAGTTCTTGACACAAACCGGTGCGCCTGGCACCTACTACCATACCCCGTTCAAAGGCACTTAAATATTTTGTCTTGCCCATTCACCCTCTGAATGGCACACATACACAATCCATGTCTCAATTGTCTCAAGGCTTAAAAATTATTATTTAACCCGTCTCCTCCCCTTCATCTACACTGATTGAAGTGGATTTAACAATGACATCAATAAAGGATCATAGCTTTCACCTGGATTCATCTATTCAGTCTATATGTCATGGAAAATGCAGGTGTTCCTAATGTTTTGTATACTCAGTGTATCTATGTTTGTCTGTCAATTCCTGAGGGACACACACACTTGCAAACATAGCAGGCTCCCACTTACGAGACTGGTCATTCTTTAGAAATGTTCATAGCAACAAGCTCCACTGAGTTGTGTTGTTCAGCATATCTACAGCTGTCTCAGTGACTCACTGTGATCATTGTTATCTCTCTCTCTACACTGGAACACAGTCACAGGTCTTATACAGAAATACCCCCCTACCAAATCCACACTGTGCTTTTGTCATGTTCTGTAGTACGCTTTTCCGTCACACTGCTATAAGCCAGGGGGAGTCTGAAAGCAGCTGTGTGTGTGTGTGTGTGTGTGTGTGTGTGTGCGCGCATAAGTGTGTGTGTTTTGTGAAAGAGTTGTTTTGTCTTGTTTCATTTTCCCCGCTGAGCGGTAGATGGGTGTAATTCCCTGCTGTTGTGGTCCCTCTGCTCGCTCCATGTCAAACACACTGTTTCTGATAAGTTTGTGTGTGAGAGTGTGTGTGTGTGCGTGTAGTCGTGTATATTTATTTGTGTGTGCACACTTGTGAAGGGCTTCCAGCAGAATATTGTCAAGGTGAAAATGACTGGAAGAATAATAACAATGTGCCATGATAATAACGTGCTTTAGGAGACTGGGATAATAATGTACAATGTTGCTAAACAATTCAGTGAAGTGTGCTGAGAAAGAGAGAGGGAGAGAGGGTAGAATGGGGATTTCAAGTTTTGACTACAGATATGCTCCAGGGACTCCTATTGTGTGTAGCTAGCGTGGAACCCCGTATTATCGGCATATTCAACAGCGTTTAAGAAATATATTACCTTCAACAGTGTTATCTTGTGATCAAGCCATCAAAGTTTTGTGATTATTGGTGTCGTAAAAATGTTAGCTAACGGGTTAGCAATGAGCAAGTTTGACATTTCAGTGAAAATACTACTATTATCAGCTTTTTGATAAGCGGTTTAGCAAAAAAATATGTCCCGTATTATCGGCATACAGCCCCCAGTTATTGGCCACCTTACTATTTTGTTCAATTACAAGATATATCCGTTTAATTTTGTTCAAAAAAGAGACACCACCCACGTACCCGAAGTGTTTACTAGATAGTTGAATAGTTGGCTAGCCTTCCGGTGAAAAATAATGACTTGCCTGTCAACTTTTCATTGCGTAGCCCGGTGCACCCTCCTGTGGACTCTTAAAAAATTGTTCTTCACCAACATATTCAGTGTTGTAACCAAATAATGTCTCATCATTTGTTTTACAGATTAATTTTATGTTTTGAGAAAGTAGATAACAGTTGAATACTAAAATATGAGTCTTAATAATTTACATCAAATAAAACTTTAATTTCAGTAATGTGCATTGACATAAACAATGAAAACACTGTTGGAGTTTGTGTTGCAGAGGTGCACTTGGAAAGTAAAGGAAGAAATACACAAGATGGGTTCAATAAATATATAGATTATATTTTAGACATTCTATTTTTTTGTACAAATAAATAATTTAATGTGAACACAAACCAAACAAACAATTAAATCTCGACCTCCATCCCTATATTGTCACAAAAATCACAATAAAAATCCAGCTCCACCGCTACCTCTTGATCCCACTGAACACACCTGCAGGGAACCAGTGCTGGCAGAAGTCACAGCACACCCATGGCACCTCGGATCTACACTCCTGAGGGGAGCTTGCAGGCGGATCATGCTCCCTGCAGAGAGCACAGCAGGTGGTGTCTTCTTTTATAAAAAAATTAATAATAATAAAAATTGATTAATATGGTTTTGCAAAATGTAGAAGTTCTTCAACAACAATAGTAATTGATATAACTGAGAGAGAGAAAAACAGATTATGAAGTACCTGAGAGTGATAAGTCATTTTTTTGTAATTTAACATGTGTTTACCTGTGGAGGTGGCTGTATTCAAATTGCAGGGGGCAGGGACACCAGACGAGGCTGCTATGGTGGTGTGACCAGGGGAGACGGAGGAGGCAGTTGGTCCAGAGGAGGCCGTGTTGGTGGTGACAGACAGGGGGAGTGGTGTGCATCGTGGTGGTGGTGGACAAAACCGCTGACGATGGCTTGGAGGAGCTGGTGTTTGTAATGGTGGGGTTGAGGGGCCGACGATGGTGTGGCCGGGAGAGTAGGCACGTAGCCTTCTTCTGCAGCTGTGGACTCCGGCGGCTCCTACAGGTTGCACACTGGGAGGCATTGGCAGTGGTGATGCAGCTGTCAGGAGTGGTTCCAGCAGGGGGTCCAGCAGAGGCGATGGCGTCAATGGTCATATCCATGGCAGCCCTCTCCTGTGCCCTCTGTGTTCTGAGGGCTGCCCAACGCTCTTTCTCCTCTGCCTCGGCCCTCTCCTTCTCACCCCTCTCCTGCCACTGGCGCGTGTATTCCTCTCCGGTGAGGCATGTGGCGACCACAGGGAGTCTTCTGTATCGATCTAGCTGATACTTAAGGACAGTAAGGATGTGCCCCAGGTCCTTCGCTATCAGCCCCCCCTCTATTAGGGGGTGCTCTTCTAGAGCTAGGGCTGGGACTGGAGCAGGGGCTTGGACTGGAGCAGGGGCTGAGGGTCCTCCTGTGATCACTGGGGAGGAGGTGCTGATGGACGGCACAGTGCTGCTGGTTCCAGGAGAGGCGGTGGTGGGACCCGGAACGGACCGAGACGTCATTAAACGGGACCCTTCAATGGCTGAAGGGTCAAAAGGGAAGTGGCCACACTTCTTAAACCCTTCCACCACATAGCACATGTCCTTTCAGCGCTGGTACGGGTAGCGGAATACTCTGGCAAATTCTTTAAAGGGCCAAAGTATGCCACGTCCAGCGGCTGCAGGACATGGGTGCAGTGTGGTGGAAGACAAAGAAGTATAACCCCTTCCCTTAGTGCCGCCGCAAGCACCTCTGGGTCCATGTGGCTCTTGTGCCCATCTAAGAGGAGAAGGAGAGGGCGCTCCTTCACTGCATGCTTAATGAAGTGCTAAAACCACTTTCTGAACAGGTACCCGTCAATGTAGCCACTGTTTGACCGTCCATACAAGGCTTGGGGGGGGCCTCCCAGTGTGTAGTGGCCACCGGGGAAACACTTGGGGTAGATGATAAATGGGGGGACATCCTCCCCAGCTGCGTTGAAGCAGGCCAGCACTGTGATGTGCTCCTTGGTCCCCAGACTCATCGCAGTTATAGATTTGTCTGGGTTTCTCCCTCAACCCACTCTCCTCCAAGTGCTTCTCATAAGAAGTGAAGAAGGTGTCCATCATCGGACGTGTGGCACACTCAGCTCTCCCCTGTCCAGGGTGTCCGGCCTCGTCATGCTCTATCTCTTGTGCCTCCTCCTGAACATTTCCCACCACCTCTTCCCCAGTGGTGGGATTGTTTCCCCTGGGTGCCGAAACCTACAATAGAAGATAATATGTAATTGTCCATCCAGGATGAAAATGTTTGTTTTGGCATCACCTTACACATCCACATTTACATCACACACATTGAGAACAGTCAGTCCAGCATTCTACATACATAAACACATAGAACACCAAATACCTGCATATTTCATCAGCCTCTGTCTGGTAAAGGGGAACCCATGGCTGGCGCAGTAGATACAGTACTGCACCAGAGAGGTTTCAAGCAATGTGGGTGGTCCACTGCGACAACCATGGGTCACCCGGCCACTCAGCCTGTCCGCCAGGATCTGCCGAGGTACACCATGCACCTTGGTAGATAAGAAAATAAAACTGTTACTAGCAGATAAAATTCACATACACATGGTAATCTCCTAAAAACAAAAGATGCCTAACTTTGGCAGTCTGGCGGATAGCCATCCCTGCACCGCAGTCCTCCATGGCATGGAACATGTCCACCTCACTCCACTGCTTCCTCTTGACTCTCTCCATGCTGTGGTGTTAATACATGTAGCTAAATAACTTGGCATACTATGCACATTTTAGAAAGATAACTCAATCTGAATATGTATAAACATTTACATTTCAAAGCTAAGGCATTGAAAGGTGATTAAAGTTTTCACAATAACTGAAAGTGTACCCACGTTTTTTGTTTGATGCTATCTGTAATGAAAATTAGTGTCCCAATTAGTTTAATATTGATGCATACATTGTCAAATTTGACTAAATACTGCATCTATGTAGCTGTTGTAAGATGAAACATAGCCAACAGTGATAGGTGTCAAAAAGTTAATGGTTCAAAGTTCCAAATACATTTTTGCAGATTGTGCAAAACGCCTCTGTCAGAGGACTCCAATTTTGATACGGTAAAGTTTGACAACATTCAGCTGTTTCGTGATATGTATTATTTAACGCTTACAATTTATTTCCTTTTTGCTGTCTTAGCAGTTCTATCAACATTTAGCAATTAAGCTAGCAACATTAGAAAATCCATTAGCTATATTTCAGAGGTAAAAAGTTGGATATTAAATTATGTGTGGTCTGTCGCGCAGTTGAATTTAAAAATATGCAGCGTGTTCCACAAAATGTGGACATATATAACTTTTTTGAAAACGCTCAAAACCTAACTTAACTTACATAAATTGCACTGAAAATCGGTGGTCAGCTAGCTAGAAGGGTGTCGTTAGTCGCAAAACGTACCGTTATTTTCCAGTCCATTTAAATGTTGAGCTCGAGGTGATTTAGTCCTCCAACCGCTAGAGAGTGTCCGAAGTTAGGGGGTGTCCGATGTTGGGGGAAAATTAGCTAGCTATATGTGACTCGTTTCAGGAAACAAGGCGTATTTCGTGCGTCACTACTTCACAGGAGAGGCATTTGAATGTAAACATTTATTTTTTATCAAAAAGCATTTTTTGGCAGAATTGCCTTCTGGAACATGTGAACTTTCATATGCCTTAATAACAAACGTGTATGCCATCTGTAAATACGAATACAATTGTTAAATTACAAGCCTAGTTGGTTGAGCCACAGAAAAAGACAGGAACCTTCCCGCTAGCCATGATTGGCTGAGGTAATGGATGGGCTGGACATGCCGAGAGATGAGTTTGGATTGGTCTGCCATGTAGCACGCTTCTGTCTATAACATGAGCTGCTCAGTATGAGTAGGTAATCCTTTCTAACGCAACTTTTTTTAAAGATATCACACAGAACTGCAAAAGTGTTGCTGATGCTCTCCACTTTCTGGGGATCCAAGTTTTGAAATCAGTGGAATGTCCGGTGGAAGCAGATTATGATAGCTAAGGAGAAAATTCTGCCGTTTGATTGCAAATATGCAAGGGAGTAGAAAAGAGAACACACAGAAGGCTGTTGTATAAAACACCTGTCTCCGGATTACATCTTCAAACTAAGGGCAACCATGGCATCAGTGACAGGGAGGGAGAAGCATTCATCCATGTATACGGGTAAGAGAGTCTAGGTAGCTACATTATGAAAAAAAAATTATGCACTCACTAACTGTAAGTCGTCCTGGATAAGAGCGTCTGCTAAATGACTAAAATGTCAATGTAATTTTTCAGATATTATATGTTTCTAATTTTGTCCGAAAGTTTTTTCATTGCAAGTTAAAGCTAATGTTAGCTGGCTGGCTTTCTAGCTAACGTTATGTGTATGATCTGTGTAGTAATATTATTTGTATCTCAGAGCCATTTGCATTGCTAGTTATAGCCTAATGTTAGCTAGCTAGCTAACATTGTACCTAGTTGGATAGCGTTAGCTACCTGCAGACTCATGCGGGGTAGTAACGTTATGAGTTGGGATTATGGTTCATTGTTTCGCTAGCTAGCTACATGTCTAAACAAAGACTCCACTATGCAAGTAACCATTTCACTGTACTGTTTACACCTTCTCTATCCTGTGCATGTTACAAATAAACTTTGATTTTATTTGATATAGTGTGTGTTTACCAGAGACGGTGATGTGAAGAACAACATGACCTGCACCAAAGTCAAATAAGGATATAACGCTAGGCCAACGAGACAGTGTCCAAGTTCTAAAATTCTCCGGTAGAATGCCCTGCTTTTATTTTTTTCACTCACAACCGTAAGCTATTTTCTGTAATTAGCTCGCCATTAACTTGTAAATAATGATCTTGTTGTGAGTTTATTTTCCTGTAATAATTAATACATATTAGCTAAAGTTAAGATGTTGTCAGCTATATGATATGGTCATTGTTTGAACTGGCGAGCCAGCCAACTTAACGTTAACTAGGTAGCTAACAAGCTAGAAATTAACCAAAACATTGTTAAGAAAGTTGCTTTTAGTTGCCTGGTTTGCTAGATTGACATATACTAAATTATTTTTTAAACGGATGGGTTTATTGCTGTTAAAATACACCAGCTTTGCTATTTTGGACCACCAGGTTGCTGATGTCATGCAGCCTGTTGTTTTTATGTTTATTCTTTTTCATAACGACAATGACAAGTTTGATGTCGGACGACAATAGAATGTTCATGATGTCACTGCGACAACTGTCTACAGACATGTCGATAGACGTAGTATAAACCAGCCTTTAGTCTTGAAATCTTTGGTTGTTTAGTACACTACCGTACTCACTCTGTTTAGCACATGGCCTCATGTGAATCCTTAAAGAGATGGGTGGGGCTAAGGCTTAAGAGGGTGTGAACGATGCTAAATGGGTGTAGACAAAGAAGAGCTCTCCAGTAGGTGTACCAAAACATTCAAGGGCCATTTTCTCAAAAGTGGGGTTACAAGTTTATCAACTTACAAAGCAGAATTACTTTTCCATTGTTCCTCAACTGTAGTGTATGATTGACCATTTTCTAGCTCTGAGTCTCTACCTTTATCCAATGTAAAAAAAAAAAAAAATTCAAATGTTGCTACGAAACACCGAATCGAGCTGGTTGGTCACAAATGCTCCAGGGACTCCTATTGTGTGTAGCTAGATATATGCTCCAGGGACTCCTATTGTGTGTAGCTAGATATATGCTCCAGGGACTCCTATTGTGTGTAGCTAGATATATGCTCCAGGGACTCCTATTGTGTGTAGCTAGATATATGCTCCAGGGACTCCTATTGTTTGTAGCTAGATTGAGGGAAAAAAATCCAGAAAATCACATTGTAGGATTTTTAATGAATTTATTTGCAAATTATGGTGGAAAATAAGTATTTGGTCACCTACAAACAAGCAAGATTTCTGGCTCTCACAGACCTGTAACTTCTTCTTTAAGAGGCTTCTCTGACCTCCACTCGTTACCTGTATTAATGGCACCTGTTTGAACTTGTTATCAGTATAAAAGACACCTGTCCACAACCTCAAACAGTCACACTCCAAACTCCACTATGGCCAAGACCAAAGAGCTGTCAAAGGACACCAGAAACAAAATTGTAGACCTGCACCAGGCTGGGAAGACTGAATCTGCAATAGGTAAGCAGCTTGGTTTGAAGAAATCAACTGTGGGAGCAATTATTAGGAAATGGAAGACATACAAGACCACTGATAATCTCCCTCGATCTGGGGCTCCACGCAAGATCTCACCCCGTGGGTTCAAAATGATCACAAGAACGGTGAGGAAAAATCCCAGAACCACACGGGGGGACCTAATGAATGACCTGCAGAGAGCTGGGACCAAAGTAACAAAGCCTACCATCAGTAACACACTACGCCGCCAGGGACTCAAATCCTGCAGTGCAAGACGTGTCCCCCTGCTTAAGCCAGTACATGTCCAGGCCCGTCTGAAGTTTGCTAGAGTGCATTTGGATGATCCAGAAGAGGATTGGGAGAATGTCATATGGTCAGATAAAAAAATATATAACTTTTTGGTAAAAACTCAACTGGTCGTGTTTGGAGGACAAAGAATGCTGAGTTGCATCCAAAGAACACCATACCTACTGTGAAGCATGGGGGTGGAAACATCATGCTTTGGGGCTGTTTTTCTGCAAAGGGACCAGGACGACTGATCCGTGTAAAGGAAAGAATGAATGGGGCCATGTATCGTGAGATTTTGAGTGAAAACCTCCTTCCATCAGCAAGGGCATTGAAGATGAAACGTGGCTAGGTCTTTCAGCATGACAATGATCCCAAACACACCGCCCGGGCAACGAAGGAGTGGCTTCGTAAGAAGCATTTCAAGGTCCTGGAGTGGCCTAGCCAGTCTCCAGATCTCAACCCCATAGAAAGTCTTTGGAGGGAGTTGAAAGGCTGTGTTGCCCAGCGACAGCCCCAAAACATCACTGCTCTAGAGGAGATCTGCATGGAGGAATGGGCCAAAATACCAGCAACAGTGTGTGAAAACCTTGTGAAGACTTACAGAAAACGTTTGACCTGTGTCATTGCCAACAAAGGGTATATAACAAAGTATTGAGAAACTTTTGTTATTGACCAAATACTTATTTTCCACCATAATTAGCAAATAAATTCATTAAAAATCCTACAATGTGATTTTCTGTAAAAAAAATGCTCATTTTGTCCGTCATAGTTGACGTGTACCTATGATGAAAATTACAGGCCTCTCTCATCTTTTTAAGTGGGAGAACTTGCACAATTGGTGGCTGACTAAATACTTTTTTCCCCCACTGTATATGCTCCAGGGACTCCTATTGTGTGTAGCTAGCTATATGCTCCAGGGACTCATATTGTGTGTAGCTAGATACTCTCATTTAGCTGGCTGTGGGGAACATGGATTTTTCATGGCAGAATGGAAAATCTCTCTTGTATCCATTTTCATGGTAGTTTTAATCAGTTTTTGGTGATCAAATCAAATCAAATGTTATTTGTCCCATGCGCCAAATACAACAGGTGTAGACCTTACAGTGAAATGTTTACTTACAAGCCCTTAACCAACAATGCAGTTTTAAGACTGAATACCAACAAAACAAAAAATCACACAAACAAATACAATATAAAATAATAAGAAATAAAAGTAACAAATAATTGAAGAGCAGCAGTAAAAATAACAATAGCGAGGCTATATACAGGGGGAACCGGTACCGAGTCAATGTGCGGGGAAACCGGTCAGTCGAGGTAATTGAGGTAATATGTACATGTACATGTTATTAAAGTGACTATGCATAGATAATAAACTGAGAGTAGCAGCAGCGTAAAAGAGGATGAAGGGGGGGGGGGGGGTTTGGGGGCAATGCAAATAGTCTGGGTAGCCATTTGATTAGATGTTCAGAAGTCTTATGGCTTGGGGTTAGAAGCTGTTTAGAAGCCTCTTGGACCTAGACTTGGCGCTCCGGTACCGCTTGCCGTGCGGTAGCAGACAGAACAGTCTATGACTAGGGTGGCTGGAGTCTTTGACAATTTTTAGGGCCTTCCTCTGACACCGCCTGGTATAGAGGTCCTGGATGGCAGGGAGCTTGGCCCCAGTGATGTACTGGGCCATATGCACCACCCTCTGTAGTGCCTGCGGTCGGAGGCCGAGCAGTTGTCATACCAGGCAGTGAGGCAACCAGTCAGGATGCTCTCGATGGTGCAGCTGTAGAACCTTTTGAGGATCTGAGGACCCATGCCAAATATTTTCTACTTAGGGGGAATAGGTTTTGTCGTGCCCTCTTCACGACTGTCTTGGTGTGCTTGGACCATGTTAGTTTGTTGGTGATGTGGACACCAAGGAACTTGAAGCTCTCAACCTGCTCCACTACAGCCCCGTCGATGAGAATGGGGGCGTGTTCGGTCCTCTTCTTTTCCCTGTAGTCCACAATCATCTCCTTTGTCTTGATCGCGTTGAGGGAGAGGTTGTTGTCCTGGCACCACACGGCCAGGTCTCTGACCTCCTCCCTATAGGCTGTCTCGTCGTTGTCGGTGATCAGGCCTATCACTGTTGTGTCATCGGCAAACTTAATGATGGTGTTGGAGTCGTGCCTGGCCATGCAGTCATGAGTGAACAGGGAGTACAGGAGGGGACTGAGCACGCACCCCTGAGGGGCCCCCGTGTTGAAGATCAGCGTGGCGGATGTGTTGTTACCTACCCTTACCACCTGGGGGCGGCCCGTCAGGAAGTCCATAATCCAGTTGCAGAGGGAGGTGTTTAGTCCCAGGGTCCTTAGCTTAGTGATGAGCTTTGAGGACACTATGGTGTTGAACGCTGAGCTGTAGTCAATGAATAGCATTTTCACATAGGTGTTCCTTTTGTCCAGGTGTGAAAGGGCAGTGTGGATCGCAATAGAGATTGCATCATCTGTGGATCTGTTGGGGCGGTATGCAAATTGGAGTGTGTCTAGGGTTTCTGGGACAATGGTGTTGATGTGAGCCATGACCAGCCTTTCAAAGCACTTCATGGCTACAGACTTGAGTGCAACGGGTCGGTAGTCATTTAGACAGGTTACCTTAGTGTTCTTGGGCACAGGGACTATGCAGGGGTTGATGAGTAAATATAGATTTGATTTATGAATGTATCATTAATTAACCCATGGCAATGTCTCTTTTTCCTCTCTCTCCCTCTCTCTCTCTCTCGCTCTCATCCTCTTTCTCACTTTTTCTTTCTTTCTCTCCACCCCATCTCTCTGTTTCTCTCTCTCTCTCCGTCTCTCAGGTGCCCTCCAGATAGAGAACAGTGAGGAGACAGACCAGGGAAAGTATGAGTGTGTGGCCACTAACTCTCAGGGCGTGCGCTACTCTTCACCGGCCAACCTGTATGTGCGAGGTAGGAACTGATCACGCATGTAAGAACACACAAACACACACACACACACACATGCATTATAACACACACACACATCTGTCACACAGCTGAAACAGCTGTCACCATTATACAATGTATTAAGTGGTGTTAAGTGCTAGTTTATCTACATGTTGTTTTGTTATTTATTTTCTTCCTATTTGCATCTACTAACCAAACCAAACCTAACCACCAAGTGAAACACCAGATGGTGACCTAAGATTGATAACGTTCAAGACTAAACTGGGTTTTACAGGTGTTGCATCAAAGTGCTGTATTTTATGATAACTGCCACTGAATGGAATTAGACAAAAAGAGATAGATCAGTGATGTCCTTACTGCACTGGGGCCAATGTGCAGTTCCAGGGTTTTTGCTACAGTATGACATCACAATTGTCCTATCCCTCCTCATCTTATTCTAAATTGAGGGCCACAGTGACTGAGAGTTTGTTTTTCTCTTGCACTTTAAAGTGGAACTAACAGGGGTTTAACTACTTTGCAGATATGAAACAAACAGACAATTCCCAATTTTTGCTACAAAACCAACTTTATAAGAGGTTTTAAAAATAGGTTATATTTGACTCAACATTCCATGAGGTACATTAAGGCATTGTTGGCAGAATAGATGGATGCAGTTCAATGCATGATTAATATAATTCACCAATACATTACTTGGTAGTCCAAAAAATATTGCTATCAGGTTGTAAATCACAGCTGGCCTGGTACATTGTTTGCTGCCTCCATTCGGGATGCACGGTTTTAGTTTCAATACAATCAAACTAGCAAGGGCAATGATCACAAGTCAGTCATAACATGGCTAATATGCTAGCATATCTATTTATGTAGCAAGCTTAAACACAGAGCCTAACATTAGCTAGATAGCTAGCTGCTAGGAGGACTTCATGTCATTGGAGGTGTGGGTGAATGACTGACTTTTTCCCCTCATATCGTTTTTCGGTGGCTACACAGCTAGAGATGCACGTGTCATTTGGTTAGCTAGCAAGACATATGAATCACTTTGCTAGCTAGCTATGCTGAACGACTGTTATCCAGTTAGCATATATCTTGCATTAGCAAATTTACTCTGGCTACTGTAGCTATCTACTCCGATTTCAGAGCACTCTTGTCTGAGTGTGCCAGAGCGCAGAATTACTGATGAATTTACGAACGCGCAAGACCCGCTGAATAGGACCGGTGTCAGTAAACGTAGGCAAAAAAAAAGAGTTTGTCACGGACGCTCTATATAACATGTATACGGCCTAACCAGCTCTGCTAGGTTGAGTAAAATGGTCAGTGAGGTGTTCTCTCATTTGTGTCTGGTAGTAGATAGCTAGCAAGCTAAGCTAGCCAACTTTAGCCAGTTAGCTTGGGTGCTTGGTTGGGACAACTCCGCAGGCAAGCTGCAGAAGGACGAGCAGGCTATTCCACATCGTTTATCAGTGCATTTTTTGAGAGGGTTTATCTAATGTTCCTTCGTTAGATTTTAGCTCATCTTGCTCTGGCTAGCATTAGTTGTTGATCTTGTTGTTGTTGATGTGCATATAGGGAAAGATAGCCTACCTTTTATGGTTGTTTGATCAATAGGACTGTAAAGTTCCCAAATGTAAGAGGACTCCCGTGGTATTTAGCTACATATTTGCAGAAATCCATTCAAGTGTATTTTGTGGCTTTTGCCGAATGCGTTCTAGTGATCTAAAGTTGTGCTGTTGCAACTGCCTGTAAACACACAGTCCAGTTCAAAGTGAGTGATGGCAGGCAAATGGCTTGTTTGCATATAGGCCTAATGTAGCTCTGATTGGCTATGTCGCACCGTTCTGCGTAGACTCGGGTCCTGGATGAGACAGATGTTTTTATTAGGTTTTATTTACTGCAGTGTCTATTAATTGTCCAAACACACTGCCGCTTTCCCACTCTATATTGCTATAGAATTTTCACAATTCCTTAGTATACACAATTCCTAAACGTTCTAAGAATTTATGAGAACGTGAAAATGACCATGTCTAAGTGCTCGCTTGTCAAAAAATAAAATAAAAAGGGTGTGATATGTTCCTGGGGGTGTACATGAACAGATTTTAATAAGATTTCATGTTGCTAAAATGCTGTCAGTTCCACTTTAATGCTAGGGAATACATTTGGTTTCTCAAGTCTAAATGAGATACTAAAAAGCAAGAATGCAAACCAACAGACAGTGTGGCCCTCCAGGAGTTTGAGACTTCTGTTCTAGGTTCTCGACTGGGGTAAGGGTGACGGGATTTAGGGGTTCTAGACTCACAGTTCTAAGCTCTTGAGCCCCTGAGTTTGACGTTCCTGATTCTACATTTTTAGTGGGTTCTGTGAAGACCAGTGTGTATGTGCGTGTGTACACGTGTGTTGGTGTGTGTATGCGGTGTGTGTGTGAGGCTTTGAGCTGGCCGTTTTTACTCTGTCTGTGTTTCCCCGTTCTCTCTCTCCCCCTCACGTCATTGTGTTCTGCATCAACCCCCTTACATCCCCCAGAGCTACGAGAAGGTTGGTGTGTTCTTTCTTTTCTTTCGTTACGCCTTCCTTTTTATAACACATTTACTCCAAAAGTTAGGAGTACTTCTAAAGTAAGGAGAGATAAATCAGTCTTAAACAGTCTAGAAAATACGTATGAATAACCCTCATGTTAAATTGGTTTTCATTTGATAAACACACTTCTTTGATTGAAGGCGTTTCACTAAGCTGTAATGTGGCTACCTGCCTACGCAGTCGTTTGCATTGATTGCATCGGGAGGCCTTGTTTGTAGACCTTGGATATTGCTTTCACTCCGAGCACAACGTTCTCTGCATGGAACGTTCTTGTTGTCATGGAGACCCAGGAATTGGAAATGAAAAGAAGGCTATCTATGCATGAAGGGAGAGTGGAGGCAGCGCTTGCGTGCCTGTATCCAGACTGTCTAACTGTGTATGGCACGGCTCCGTGTGTGCTTGTGTGTGTGTGCGTGCATGCGCTCTGCGTGTGTCGATTTGATTTATTTCTGTTGTCTTGTCCAATGTCTTTTATTTCTTGTTCTGTTCTGTCTGTGTGGGCATGTGTTATGTCACTGTCATGCTTCTGCACTTGTCGCATGTTGTGTGTCTCTTTGCCAATGTGTTTTTCTGTCTCTGTGTGTGGTATTGGTCTGCTACTGTTTGTTTGCGTACATACTCTGTGTAGCCAGTTTGGTGCTTGTATGCTGATTGGTTGTGTGGTCCTCATATCCCCTCAGGGAAAATAAAGCATTCAAATAAGGCTTTATTCAAGTGGCATTTAAAAGTAGCATATAATTATTTACACGCTTGTTTGGTCAGCAAAGACTAAGTTAGTTCTGCTGGCTCAACATACACTTACACTCAGAGGCCAACAACACACACTGCTTACTTTCTTTATGTACAATATCTGTATTTATATTCAGGTAAACAAAATATGGAATCATATTTATTTGCGCAAAAAAGAACATCTGTGTTATTATTCACACAGAGATCCGATGTAATTCCATGGTTATACTACATTATATTATTATGTTATTGTTCACACAGAGATCCTATGTAATTGGTTATTCAGCTGCTAAATAGCGGTTGCTGTGAAATATATTACGTCGTCCATTGATTGGCAGTTGAAATGAACAATTTATCCTCCTCTATATTGATGTATATTTATAGAATACACATATTAATAAAACATCTCTCCACTTCTTTATTAGGTGAGGCAGGATTAGCGTGTGTAAATGCCAACAGTGCTTTAGTGTGCTGTGGCTGTGCTCTTTAATGAAATGCAACGGTATCCTAGGCAGCTCTCAATCCCCATCTACTATGGTCTAACATCCTCATCAACTCTACCCTGTAGACAATCCTGTTATTGATACTGGAGCAAAATATAATCAATCATTGCATTACAGTTTCCCCCCTTGGACTATATGGTCTACAGTGGGCTATTTAATTAACAAGCAAAACTAGGGGGCTATACGAGAGATGCTATTCTATCAACATTCTGGCCAGAGATTTTCTTGAGAAGGGCTCTAGAAATATCCTTCATATGTTCCATGATATTAATACTACCTTGTTTTATTGATACTGAACTCACATATATGTCTGATAGTAAACTGTCTGACTGTTCAGTCTCGGCTGTCCTCTGTTCAGCATGCTCTTGAATATTGTGCGGTCCTGCTGCAGAGCTGGATGTACCCTACTTTCCTACTTGACAGAAGTGTCAACGTTCTCTTCTTCAGCCCGAACTGGACACATTGTAAACAAGTCTCCAAACCTTAAGGGAACTTCTAGTCAAAACGCAGTAGTTAGATATGTATACTACACATTATGCACACACTTTAAGAGTTTAGTACACTGCTCAAAAAAATAAAGGGAACACTTAAACAACACAATGTAACTCACACTTCTGTGAAATCAAACTGTCCACTTAGGAAGCAACACTGATTGACAATACATTTCACATGCTGTTGTGCAAATGGAATAGACAACAGGTGGAAATTATAGGCAATTAGCAAGACACCCCCAATAAAGGACTGGTTTTGCAGGTGGTGACCACAGACCACTTCTCAGTTCCTATGCTTCCTGGCTGATGTTTTGGTCACTTTTGAATGTTGGCGGTGCTTTCACTCTAGTGGTAGCCTGAGACGGAGTCTACAACCCACACAAGTGGCTCAGGTAGTGCAGCTCATCCAGGATGGCACATCAATGCGAGCTGTGGCAAGAAGGTTTGCTGTGTCTGTCAGCGTAGTGTCCAGAGCATGGAGGCGCTACCAGGAGACAGGCCAGTACATCAGGAGACGTGGAGGAGGCCGTAGGAGGGCAACAACCCAGCAGCAGGACTGCTACCTCCGCCTTTGTGCAAGGAGGAGCAGGAGGAGCACTGCCAGAGCCCTGCAAAATGACCTCCAGCAGGCCACAAATGTGCATGTGTCTGCTCAAACGGTCAGAAACAGACTCCATGAGGGTGGTATGAGGGCCCGACGTCCACAGGTGGGGGTTGTGCTTACAGCCCAACACCGTGCAGGACGTTTGGCATTTGCCAGAGAACACCAAGATTGGCAAATTCACCACTGGCGCCCTGTGCTCTTCACAGATGAAAGCAGGTTCACACTGAGCACATGTGACAGACGTGACAGAGTCTGGAGACGCCGTGGAGAACGTTCTGCTGCCTGCAACATCCTCCAGCATGACCGGTTTGGCGGTGGGTCAGTCATGGTGTGGGGTGGCATTTATTTGGGGGGCCGCACAGCCCTCCATGTGCTCGCCAGATGTAGCCTGACTGCCATTAGGTACCGAGATGAGATCATCAGACCCCTTGTGAGACCATATGCTGGTGCGGTTGGCCCTGGTTTCCTCCTAATGCAAGACAATGCTAGACCTCATGTGGCTGGAGTGTGTCAGCAGTTCCTGCAAGAGGAAGGCATTGATGCTATGGACTGGCCCGCCCGTTCCCCAGACCTGAATCCAATTGAGCACATCTGGGACATCATGTCTCGCTCCATCCACCAACGCCACGTTGCACCACAGACTGTCCAGGAGTTGGCGGATGCTTTAGTCCAGGTCTGGGAGGAGATCCCTCAGGAGACCATCCGCCACCTCATCAGGAGCATGCCCAGGCATTGTAGGGAGGTCATACAGGCACGTGGAGGCCACACACACTACTGAGCCTCATTTTGACTTGTTTTAAGGACATTACATCAAAGTTGGATCAGCCTGTAGTGTGGTTTTCCACTTTAATTTTGAGGGTGACTCCAAATCCAGACCTCCATGGGTTGATAAATTTGATTTCCATTGATAATTTTTGTGTGATTTTGTTGTCAGCACATTCAACTATGTAAAGAAAAAAGTATTTAATAAGATTATTTCATTCATTCAGATCTAGGATGTGTTATTTTAGTGTTCCCTTAATTTTTTTGAGCAGTGTATTTACTTAAATAAAAGATTGAGCTGAATTGTATGGTACTGCGTAGGTGCTCATGTCTGCAGCATGGTTTTCATCTGGTCACTCTGTCTCTGTCTCTGTCTGGCTCTTGTGTGCTCTGGAGAGAATCTGCCTGCCTGCCTTTTGATTTGCCAACAGTCTCTTATAACAGTTCAATTAGATTTTGTCTGTTAATTAAATGTTGGTTTTTTGTCTTGAACTTTAGTGTCAAATTCTGGGGATCTGTTGGCATTCTAGGGTCACTCCAAATGTATGGCACTGTTATGTTGAGTGGGATCATGTCCACTGAGCTACAGTGGCTTGCGAAAGTATTCACCCCCCTTGGCATTTTTCATATTTTGTTGCCTTACAACCTGGAATTAAAATTGATTTTGGGGGGGTTTGTATATATATATATATATATATATATATATTAGGGCTGTCAAAAATAGCGCGTTAACGACGTTAATTAGTTGTTTGCTGTTAATTACGTCAATTTTTTTAACGCATTTCACGCATGCGCAGTGTGACAAATTATTCAGGTCAGGAAAGTGGTTGGGAGCTAGAGGCGAGATGGAGCAAGGTGAGCAAAGTGGGCCTATTGACGGATTCAAATATAAAAAGAATGATGATGGTACAGTTAACAAGTACAAGGTTATTTGCAAGATTTGTAAGAAGGAGTTTCAATTTCACCGGAGCTGTTCAAGCTTGAAGTACCATGTCAACGCCAAACATGCGTTTGCTGGGCCGTCAGATTCAGCAAGTGGTTTGCGCCAGACCACGCTGAATGTTTGCAGGCAATTAACAAAATCAACCTCAGATAATTTGACCCACACAATAGCAAAATGGATTGCAAAGGATTGTAGACCCATTAGCATTGTAGAAGACTCAGGTTTCCTTGATGTTTTGCAAGTGGCGTCTCAAGACTCATTCTATAAGCCACCGTCAAGAGCCACAGTTATGAAGAAAATCCACGAGCTCTATGAAAACGAAAAAGAAAAAAGGAAAGAGGTCTTGGCTCAAGTAAATCATATCTTTATTTATCTTTTGGTATGCATTTCAGAAAAAAAATGGTTAGGATTCAGGTGTAATTGCAAATAGTGATTAATCATGATTAATCCACTGAAAATTCTGATTAATTTGATTAAAAATTTTAATCATTTGACAGCCCTAATATATATATATATATATACACACATATACATACATACACATATACATACATACACATACATACATATACACATACATAAGTATTTGATCCCCTGCTGATTTTGTACGTTTGCCCACTGACAAAGAAATGATCAGTCTATAATTTTAATGGTAGGTTTATTTGAACAGTGAGAGACAGAATAACAACAAAAAAATCCAGAAAAACGCATGTCAAAAATGTTATAAATTGATTTGCATTTTAATGAGGGAAATAAGTATTTGACTCCCTCTCAATCAGAAAGATTTCTGGCTCCCAGGTGTCTTTTATACAGGTAACGAGCTGAGATTAGGAGCACACTCTTAAAGGGAGTGCTCCTAATCTCAGCTTGTTACCTGTATAAAAGACACCTGTCCACAGAAGCAATCAAATCAATCAGATTCCAAACTCTCCACCATGGCCAAGACCAAAGAGCTCTCCAAGGATGTCAGGGACAAGATTGTAGACCTACACAAGGCTGGAATGGGCTACAAGACCATCGCCAAGCAGCTTGGTGAGAAGGTGACAACAGTTGGTGCGATTATTCGCAAATGGAAGAAACACAAAAGAACTGTCAATCTCCCTCGGCCTGGGGCTCCATGCAAGATCTCACCTCGTGGAGTTGCAATGATCATGAGAACGGTGAGGAATCAGCCCAGAACTACACGGGAGGATCTTGTCAATGATCTCAAGGGAGCTGGGACCATAGTCACCAAGAAAACAATTGGTAACACACTACGCCGTGAAGGACTGAAATCCTGCAGCGCCCGCAAGGTCCCCCTGCTCAAGAAAGCACATATACAGGCCCGTCTGAAGTTTGCCAATGAACATCTGAATGATTCAGAGGAGAACTGGGTGAAAGTGTTGTGGTCAGATGAGACCGAAATCGAGCTCTTTGGCATCAACTCAACTCGCCGTGTTTGGAGGAGGAGGAATGCTGCCTATGACCCCAAGAACACCATCCCCACCGTCAAACATGGAGGTGGAAACATTATGCTTTGGGGGTGTTTTTCTGCTAAGGGGACAGGACAACTTCACCGCATCAAAGGGACGATGAACGGGGCCATGCACCCCCCCCCCCCCCCCCCCCAAAAAAAAAAAAAAAAAAAAAAAAAAATGGTAAAGTGGTTATCCCACTGGCTATAAGGTGAATGCACCTATTTGTAAGTCGCTCTGGATAAGAGCGTCTGCTAAATGACGTAAATGTAAATGTAAATGTACCATCAAATCTTGGGTGAGAACCTCCTTCCCTCAGCCAGGGCATTGAAAATTGGTCGTGGATGGGTATTCCAGCATGACAATGACCCAAAACATACGGCCAAGGCAACAAAGGAGTGGTTCAAGAAGAAGCACATTAAGGTCCTGGAGTGGCCTAGCCAGTCTCCAGACCTTAATCCCATAGAAAATCTGTGGAGGGAGCTGAAGGTTCGAGTTGCCAAACGTCAGCCTCGAAAACGTAATGACTTGGAGAAGATCTGCAAAGAGGAGTGGAACAAAATCCCTCCTGAGATGTGTGCAAACCTGGTGGCCAACTACAAGAAACGTCTGACCTCTGTGATTGCCATGTTTTGCAGAGGGGTCAAATACTTATTTCCCTCATTAAAATGCAAATCAATTTATAACATTTTTGACATTTTTCTGGATTATTTTGTTGTTATTCTGTCTCTCACTGTTCAAATAAACCTACCATTAAAATTATAGACTGATCATGTCTTTGTCAGTGGGCAAACTTACAAAATCAGCAGGGGATCAAATACTTTTTTCCCTCACTGTATATACATATCCTTTTCAAAAATATATTTCCCTTCATTACTTTCCAACCCCACCACCCCTTCCCTAATTGGAGTAAACTAGTGAACAACAACGCTTAGGCCTCTACTTCCAGCTTATGCATACTATATACATTTTATGGACACAGTCAATTTTACAATAATTATATTTTGTTTGTTTTCACTCCTGAACTTCCTCTACCCTCAACCTCTCTGATCATTTTAATGATGTCCATCCGGTTTGCTTCTATATGCCATATCTTTCTAACTGTGCTCTTTCACAAAAGCTCTCAACCTATAACCTATATACTTATTATGGACACGGTATGTTTTACATTAGTTATCTTGTTGTTAAAAGCTCAATTTCAAATCAAATCAAATCAAATTGTATTTGTCACATACACGTGTTTAGCAGATGTCATAGCGGGTGTAGCGAAATGATTGTGCTTCTATCTTCGACAGTGCAGTAAGATCTAACAAGTAATATCTAACAATTTCACAACATATACCCAATACACACAAAACTAGTAAGGAATGGGATTTAAGAATATATACATATATGGACAAGCAATGACAGAGCGGCATGGACTAAGATACAGTAGAATATTATAGAATAGAATGCAGTATATACATATGAGATGAGTAGTACAAGATATGTAAACATTATTAAAGTGACTAGTGTTCAATTTCTTAAAGTGGCCAGTGATTTCAATAGGCAGCAGCAGCCTCTAATGTGGTAATTTTAGTCTCATCTGACCAGAGTACCTTCTTCCATATGTTTGGGGAGTCTCCCACATGCCTTTTGGCGAACACCAAACGTGTTTGCTTATTTTTTACTTTAAGCAATGGCTTTTTTCTGGCCACTCTTCCGTAAAGCCCAGCTCTGTGGAGTGTACGGCTTAAAGTGGTCCTATGGACAGATACTCCAATCTCCGCTGTGGAGCTTTGAAGCTCCTTCAGGGTTATCTTTGGTCTCTTTGTTGCCCTCCTTGCCTGGTCCGTGAGTTTTGGTGGGTGGCCCCTCTTGGCAGGTTTGTTGTGGTGCCATATTCTTTCAATTTTTTTATAATGGATTTAATGGTGCTCTGTGGGATGTTCAAAGTTTCGGATATTTTTTTATAACCCAACCCTGATCTGTACTTCTCCACAACTTTGTCCCTGACCTGTTTGGAGAGCTCCTTGGTCTTCATAGTGCCGCCTGCTTGGTGGTGCCCCTTGCTTAGTGGTGTTGCAGACTCTGGGGCCTTTCAGAACAGGTGTATATATACTGAGATCATGTGACAGATCATGTGACACTTAGATTGCACACAGGTGGACTTTATTTAACTAATTATGTGACTTCTGAAGGTAATTGGTTGCACCATATCTTATTTAGGGGCTTCATAGCAAAGGGGGTGAATACATATGCACGCACCACTTTTCCGTTATTTATTATTTAGAATTTTTTGAAACAAGTAATTTTTTTTATTTCACTTCACCAATTTGGACTATTTTGTGTATGTCCATTACATGAAATCCAAATAAAAATCAATTTAAATTACAGGTTGTAATGCAACAAAATAGGAAAAATGCCAAAGGGGATGAATAATTTTGCAAGGCACTGTACTGAATCACTTGAAGATGCCAAATTGTTTATTTGGTTTTGGTGAATAGTTTGTTCGCGTGCTATCTGAGGAAGAATAGGAATACAGTGAAATCCATGGAACCTAGAGAAGATATTTAAACGCTAGGTGAAGTTTATTAATGAATCTGAACATTGTTATTTTACATTAAATGCATCAGCTGAGAATCATTTGGGGGAAGACTGAGGCCAGTGATTCTATGAAGACTCTTTCCCCCTGATTTACTCCTACTGACTGAGTGGAGATTCCTGTATCGTGAGTCAAAAACATGATTCAAACCCCTGATTCAGATACTGTTTCGAATCTTGACACTAGCCAATATTTCTACTGTCTGTGTCTGTCTGTCTATATGCCCTTCCTCCCCTTGCATCCACTCCTGTCCATCTATAGTCGTTGGTCTTTCTTTCTTTCTTTCTTTCTTTCTTTCTTTCTTTCTGTCTGTCTGTCTGTCTGTCTGTCTGTCTGTCTGTCTGTCTGTCTGTCTGTCTGTCTGTCTGTCTGTCTGTCTGTCTGTCTGTCGGACAGTCTGACTGTTACTTCAGTCCTCTGTGTTGCAGCCTTGGAGTACCAACTTTTCAATTCCTACGACATCCACCAATAAAAGCCTGATTTTGGAGAACCTAACAGCAGTTTCAAGAGCGCCATGTGTTTTCTCTTTCCCCATCCCTCCTTTCTTCCCCTCTTTCCCCCATCCCTCCTTTCTTCCCCTCTTTCCCCTTCTCTCCTTTCCCCCTTTCTTATCATCTCCCTTCCCTCTTATCCCTGCTGTCCCCATCCCTCTCTTCTAATATCCCTCCCTTCTTTCTCTCTCTTCTGCATTCTGCACTCCATCTGTACCCTGGTGTGTAGGATCAACAGACAAATGTGCATCATTTTAAATTGCTAAAAACATGCGCATACTACCCCTTTCTCTCTCTTTCGATTATCTCTCTCTGTCATGACTCATGATTTATGTCTTGATGTTTCCTTATTTAACGTGTTCAATGCGAACCTTGTAATTGCAACGACACCTAATTATATCTTCCATAACCTTATTTACATCGCTTTTATTTATTTTCAACATTGCTGTGTTCATCTGGTATTCTGGTTGTACAATGAGGCCGTGATTTGCCACATTGACTGGAAGAGGAACCAGACAATACTCTCTCTCTCTCTCTCTCTCTCTCTCTCTCTCTCTCTCTTCGCTCTGTCTCTTCATGATTATAGTTTCTTCTATAAGTCTTCCAGGCATGCAAGTGACCCGTGAGCTCTGTCTCTCTATGCATCCATGCATCTTTCCCTCTACGTGCCATTATATAAGATAGATCTGACAGATTGCTAGTAGATTCAGAACAACTACAGTTAACAGAAGCACTCTGTGCATGTTTTCTGACTGATAGCTGGTTCTATCAATTGGCTCTGCCAGCACCATGTATCTAAAGGGCCCCAATCTGCAGTGGAGAACTCACCCCAGAGGCACAGAAATCTCATTGAAGTTTCTCGTTAAAGTTTCTCACTCAAGTTTTTGGTGAAGTTTCTCGTTTTCAAGTCAGTAGCTTTGAACTTCGCTGCAGGGGTAGTTCAACTGTAATTTAGATCTTCACATCGGTTTTATTTGAGCTCATCTTAGTTCATCAGAAAATAAAATCATATGGTATTTTGTGCAGCCCAGCCAGAGCGCCAATATTTGTATTGTAGGTATTTTATTATAGGGAAGAGGAAACTTTATAGTCTGGGCATCTACAGTAATGATTCTAGAATAGCAAATGATGTCCTTATAAAATATGCAATGGGTTGTTGCAGAGTGGCTAAAACGTGAGAAACTTACAATAGGTTTAATGTGCAGGGTGAAATGTAGCTTGAGATAGCAGTCTCTCAACATAGGATCTGTGTATTTCAACTGCTATCATTAGCTAGTATTTTCAAAACTACCAATGTGGTTTTGACTAAACGTGAAATATCCCTTTGTAAAACCTCTGTAAAAGCAGTGAAGTTCATTCTACCCTTTCTGTTACCCCAATCTCTCTCTCTCTCTTTCGCTCTCTCTCATTCTCTCTCTCTTTCTTTATCTTTCTTACTCCTCCCCTCTCTCACCCCCTTTTCTGTCCCTCCCGCTCCCCCTCCTCATCCCCCTATCCCAATCCTCCCCCTGTCTTCCGCCTCTCCTCCTCTCCCAGTGCGTCGCGTGCCCCCTCGTTTCTCCATCCTGCCCTCCAACCATGAGATCATGCCCAGCGGCAGCGTCAACATCACCTGTGTGGCGGTGGGTTCGCCCATGCCCTACGTCAAATGGATGCTGGGTAGTGAGGACCTGACACCTGAGGACGAGATGCCGGTGGGACGGAACGTTCTGGAGCTCAACGGTATCAGGGAGTCGGCCAACTACACCTGCGTGGCCATGAGTAGTCTGGGGATTATAGAGGCCACCGCACAGGTGTCAGTTAAGAGTAAGGGACATCCTTTCACTTTCTAACTGTGCTCTCTCTGTTTCCCCCTCTCTGGCTTCCTTCTCTTCTATTAAACTATATCTGCCCCTAACAGCCAAATTAAACACATCTATTAGAGAAGTGGTATTCAAACTTTTTCAGTGGGGGACCCCATTTCTTCCCAATATTTTTTTGCGACCCCACCCCAAATGTAATGACACAACCTTAAAATACAGTGGGGAAAAATGTATTTAGTCAGCCACCAATTGTGCAAGTTCTCCCACTTAAAAAGATGAGAGAGGCCTGTAATTTTCATCATAGGTACAAGTCAACTATGACAGACAAATTGATGGAAAAAAATCCAGAAAATCACATTGTAGGATTTTTAATGAATTTATTTGCAAATGATGGTGGAAAATAAGTATTTGGTCACCTACAAACAAGCAAGATTTCTGGCTCTCACAGACCTGTAACTTCTTCTTTAAGAGGCTCCTCTGTCCTCCACTCATTACCTGTATTAATGGCACCTGTTTGAACTTGTTATCAGTATAAAAGACACCTGTCCACAACCTCAAACAGTCACACTCCAAACTCCACTATGGCCAAGACCAAAGAGCTGTCAAAGGACACCAGAAACAAAATTGTAGACCTGCACCAGGCTGGGAAGACTGAATCTGCAATAGGTAAGCAGCTTGGTTTGAAGAAATCAACTGTGGGAGCAATTATTAGGAAATGGAAGACATACAAGACCACTGATAATCTCCCTCGATCTGGGGCTCCACGCAAGTTCTCACCCCATGGGGTCAAAATGATCACAAGAACGGTGAGCAAAAATCCCAGAACCACACGGGGGGACCTAGTGAATGACCTGCAGAGAGCTGGGACCAAAGTAACAAAGCCTACCATCAGTAACACACTACGCCGCCAGGGACTCAAATCCTGCAGTGTGACGTGTCCCCCTGCTTAAGCCAGTACATGTCCAGGCCTGTCTGAAGTTTGCTAGAGTGCATTTGGATGATCCAGAAGAGGATTGGGAGAATGCCATATGGTCAGATGAAACCAAAATATAACTTTTTGGTAAAAACTCAACTTGTCGTGTTTGGAAGACAAAGAATGCTGAGTTGCATCATACCTACTGTGAAGCATGGGGGTGGAAACATCATGCTTTGGGGCTGTTTTTCTGCAAAGGGACCAGGACGACTGATCCGTGTAAAGGAAAGAATGAATGGGGCCATGTATCGTGAGATTTTGAGTGAAAACCTCCTTCCATCAGCAAGGGCATTGAAGATGAAACGTGGCTGGGTCTTTCAGCATGACAATGTTCCCAAACACACCGCCCGGGCAACGAACATCACTGCTCTAGAGGAGATCTGCATGGAGGAATGGGCCAAAATACCAGCAACAGTGTGTGAAAACCTTGTGAAGACTTACAGAAAACGTTTGACCTGTGTCATTGCCAACAAAGGGTATATAACAAAGTATTGAGAAACTTTTGTTATTGACCAAATACTTATTTTCCACCATAATTTGCAAATAAATTCATTAAAAATCCTACTATGTGATTTTCTGGAATTTTATTTCTCATTTTGTCTGTCATAGTTGACGTGTACCTATGATGAAAATTACAGGCCTCTCTCATCTTTTTAAGTGGGAGAACATGCACAATTGGTGGCTGACTAAATACTTTTTTTCCCCACTGTAGGTACATTACGATTTTTAGAGTAACAAATAACCTTAAATTCATTGCATTTTCATCTCTCATCAAAATAAACCAATAAATAAATGTACTCAATACACGACTTTGAATACCACTGTATTAGAGAGTAAGGGCCATCTATGATCTCGCAGGTGTCCGCCAAGAGTAAGGGACACTTTTCTCCCTGTCTGCCTTAAGACATTAAGGACAGTTAAGAAAATATCTCCTTCTCCCGCCATAGCTCTTCCCAAGCCTCCCGGTACCCCCATCGTCACAGAGACGACTCCCACCAGTGTCACCATCACCTGGGACTCCGGTAACCCCGACCCGGTGTCCTATTACATCATCCAGTACCGGGCCAAGGCGCCAGACAGCAAGTACGAGACGGTGGACAGTATCACCACCACAAGGTACAGCATTGGAGGGCTCTACCCCAACACAAAGTATGAGATCAGGGTGTCGGCCTTCAACAGCATTGGCCAGGGACCCTCGTCCACCCGGGTGGAGGCCAGGACAGGGGAGCAGGCTCCGGCTAGCCCACCCAGGAACGTCCAGGCCAGGATCATCTCCAAGAACACTGTCATGGTTCGCTGGGAGGAACCGGAGGAGCCCAACGGACAGGTCAGTGTTGATTTATTTAATCAGTTGTTTTGTTAAAGGTCCAATGCCATTTTTATCTCAATATCAAATCATTTCTGATTAACAATGAAGTACCTTACTGTGATTGTTTTCAAAAATAAAAAAATAAAAACATAAACAAAAATAGCTTCTTAACAAAGAGCAATTTTTCAAGCAAGATTTTTGCTAGGACTGTCTGGGAGTGGGGAGGGTAAAACTGAAAACTAGCTGTTATTGGCAGAGAGGTGATGTCACCAGGCAGGCCAAAACCCCATCCCAGCAAAACAGGCTGACATTTCAGACAGTCTTTTCAAACAGCTCTTACACTAAAAGGGCATTATCATCATTTTCACAATTTCACAGTATTATTCCAACCTCATAGTGTGGAAATATATATAAAACACAGGAAAATCTGTTCTTTGACTGCACTGGGCCTTTAATAATGTATTAATAATAATGTACATTTACATTACATTTTAGTTATTTAGCAGACGCTCTTATCCAGAGCGACTTACAATTAGTGAATACATATATTTTTTTTATACTGGCCCCCCGTGGGAATCGAACCCACAACCCTGGCGTTGCAAACGCCATGCTCTATCAACTGAGCTACATCCCTGCCGGCCATTCCCTCCCCTACCCTGGACGACGCTGGGCCAATTGTGCGCCGCCCATGAGTCTCCCGGTCGCGGCCGGCTGCGACAGAGCCTGGATTCGAACCAGGATCTCTAGTGGCACAGTTAGCACTGCGATGCAGTGCCTTAGACCACTGCGCCACTCAGGAGACATGTACTAATGTACTACTTGATTTATTTATAATGTATTATGTTATTAATCTGTAAATGTATGAATGTATTAATTAGAATGTTATTATAAGAATAAGTGGCCAAAACAGGGATAATGCACAATGATCAACGTCTCTGACAGAGACAACACTGAGGCGCAATAGTAACTGAGTTAGTTAGATAAACATCTAATTTTCCTCTGTTGTCCCTAGGCAGTCTAAACATAATAAGATACTTAATAGTTGCCTGACGACTCACCCTGAATTTATTTCCGCTGCTCTATCGATCATCGTGGAGAAGCAATGTGGATGGGTAACCAGGCTATCATAATGGAGTCAACGTAAACAACAGTAATAACAACAAGGCGTGGGGGCGGGGGCAGTGCATCATAAATAGATCATATAAATAACAAACATATTACAGTTTTAATCATGGACTATAGTGATTAGGCTTTAGGTAAAGAAAGGGTCATTATAAAGGTAATTCAGTTATTTAAGGATAACGGTAATGATATTTCAACCTCGAAGTGAATACAATGATTATCTAGCTCAACGACATATAGGTCCAGTCCAGTATAATTTGTTCTGGGCATTAACGTCACAATATGTAATAGCTTCCAAACTCAAACAAGTCTATAGGACCAGACAATGAGAGGTTAATTATAGAAAACAACAGAAAGGAATTTCTCACCATCGTCTGTCTCTCTCTCTCTCTCTGTGGCTCCCCCCTGATTCCGTTCCTCCGTCCCTCCCTCCAGGTGAAAGGTTACCGTGTGTACTACACCATGGACCCATCTCAGCCCATGAGTCTATGGCAAATCCATAATGTTCAGGACAGCACCATCACCACCATCCAGAGCCTGGTACCCTCTGAGACATACACTGTCAGAGTCCTGGCCTTTACATCTGTGGGAGACGGACCCTTCTCTGACCCTGTCCATGTCAAAGTGCTGCCCGGAGGTCAGTGTGTGTGTGTGTGTGTGTGTGTGTGTGTGTGTGTGTGTGTGTGTGTGTGTGTGTGTGTGTGTGTGTGTGTGTGTGTGTGTGTGTGTGTGTGTGTGTGTGTGTGTGTGTGTGTGTGTGTGTGTGTGTGTGTGTGTGTGTGTGTGTGTGTGTGTGTGTGTGTGGTTGTGCGTCCATGTGTGTCTGTGGGTTTGTGTCCTTTTCTGACCCGGTTCATGTCAAAGTCCTTCAGTATGTTTAAGGTCAGTAACACAAATCTTGTGTAGAACTACAGGGCTGAGATGGGAATTGTCTGTTTAAATAAAGGATGAATAGAACAGTCTAGAAGCTACTAACTGACTGGATGCTGGAGAGGTGAGGTCTAACTTTTGTCCTGTCTCCTCTTCCATCCCCTGTAGTTCCAGGGCAGCCAGGGAAGTTCAAAGTGGGCAAGGTGACGGACACCAGTATAGAGCTGACCTGGGAACCGTCCTACATCAAGGAGGGCATCGTCAACTACGAACTGCTCTACAAACCTGTCAAGTTCGGCAGCCTGGTAAGACTTCTTCTTCCATACTAAGTAGATTTCATTAAGATGATTACATCCATTTATCAGATAATCCAGAGATACCCAGTTCTCTTTCTTTCTTTCTTTCTTTCTTTCTTTCTTTCTTTCTTTCTTTCTTTCTTTCTTTCTTTCTTTCTTTCTTTCTTTCTTTCTTTCTTTCTTTCTTTCTTTCTTTCTTTCTTTCTTTCTTTCTTTCTTTCTTTCTTTCTTTCTTTCTTTTATTAATGCTCTCTCCGTCTCTAACAGGAGAAGTTGACGTTTGGGCCCAGGGCGTCGTACACAGTGGAGGGTCTGAGGGCTAACACGGAGTACTCCTTCTCCCTGGCTGCCATTTCAAACAAAGGCATCGGAGCCTTTACCAACGAGCTGGTCCAGAGGACAGCACAAGCCAGTACGTTTCCCTCTGTCACAGCTGCAAACACACACTGTGTAACGTTACAGTGTACTGTACTTGTATCCCTCACAGCTCACTGATCCCTGGGAGTCGTCTACACACTCATCTATCTTGTCCACTCATCTATTCATTTCTCTTGTTCACTCATCCATCCATCCCTGCATCCATCTTCTCTGTATTTAGAGTGTCCCTGATGTCCAGCCCACCAACAGTTTATTTTTACTTTCACCGTTTTCTCACACAGTGAAAAGTCCTGGATATACGGATCGGATAAGGACGCTGTATTCTGTTTTTCCATCTTGTTTCACTTTCTTCAGTCCTTCACAGGTTCCTTTACTTCAAAGTGGGTCAAAGTGCCCTTTTTCTCCAGTTCAAGAAGCTCACTGTCACAGGTCAAATGTCATCAGGATTCAATTATTTTCAAGGCTTTATTTGAGGTATGTGCTGGTCAGTTGGAGTCTAAGACCAAATCAAACTAATAGGCTTTTATCCAGCGGGGACTGCCGTAAAGGTACAGTATTACTTTTTAATATTTTTACCTGGAAAAAATTGACATAGGACTTACAGGTAAATAAAGGAAACACTTGAGTAAATGAGGGATACAAAGTATATTGAAAGCAGGTGCTTCCACACAGGTATCCTGAGTTAATTAAGCAATTAACATCCCATCATGGTTAGGCTCATGTATAGAAATGCTGGGCAGGCCATTATTGTAGACACTATTTTGGCTACCATGCCTATGCCCCCATAGGATGACAATGCCCCCATCCAAAGGGAATGGGTGGTCACTGAATGGTTTGATGAGCATGAAAACGATTTAAACCATATGCCATGGCCGTCTCAGTCACCAGAGCGCAATCCAACTGAACACTTATGGGAGATTCTGGAGCGGCGCTTGAGATAGCGTTTTCCACCATCATCAACAAAACACCAAATTATGGAATTTCTCGTGGAATAATGGTGTCGCATTCATCTAATAGTTCCAAACAATTGTAGAACCTATACCAAGGTGCATTGAAGCTTTTCTGGATCGTGGTGGCCCAACGCTCTATTAAGACGCTTTAGGTTGGTGTTTCCTTTATTTTGGCAGTTACCTGTACATTCACCAACAGAAACTTTCGGTAACTTTTAACATGTTATTTGGCTATCTGGATGCCCCTTGTCATGCTTGACCTAAACACTTGGGTGGCAGGCTGGGGAGTGACTGAATGTGGCAGATAAGAATTTCAGTTCATGGAGCAGAATGCATTTTCACAGTTAGCTTAGCACGGTTAGCGTGCTATCGCTAGGCTTGGGTGCACATCGTGATTGATCCCCCAGGCCACTGGTACTGGTACTGTGCAGTTGAAGTGTCAGACTGTCAGACTCACAAATCCATGAATGATGAACATATTCCTGCACATACTGTATCTTTACCTCATTTTGGATGAATGGTGGTTGTTGCATGGTAAGAAGGTGCTATGTGATGTCTATGGGTGGGAAGGACAGGTACGCATCTCAGACAGTGCCTGGTTGTGTCTCTTATCCTTGCTGTTCATCTGTCCCTCTGTCCAATGCCTTTTCTCTCATTCTATCTACTAGTTCCTTTGAAATTGCATGAGGTCAACGTTCATGAAAGTATTTGGTTTTGGTTTTAGTTTCAGCTTCCTCAAATCCTGCTATATGATATTTGAAATATCCAATCCCTAAACCCAATTTTAAGGAATTAGATTGGGCAGTTTAACCTTTTACTGTGGTGGGTTAAATCAGAGTCACACAGAGTGATTATTGGTCGTCTTAAACAAATCTACTTTGAAAAAAAGGATACACCTCACACACATGGTTATGGGCTTAAACAAAAGACACCTGTACCATGTCAGATATAGAGTTGAAATGTATTACATTTTGAGTTGCAAGCAAAACATTTTAGAGGCCCCCCTCTTGACAGTGGAGAGAGAATTTTTTGTATATACAGTATATATATATTTGTTTCTACTGGGTTTCTTTTGTCTTTGGAAATGTATCCGCAGGCAGTTGTCCATTCCTGATCTACAGTATAGCTCTGTTCTTATCCAGCCAAGCAAAACTAAGCAGAGCTGTGTATCTCAGCCTGTAGAGGATGTCTTAAGTGCCCTCTTCCCAGTCATAAATCACTGTGCTGCCATTGGTCAGAGCAGACAGGTGAAAGCCAATCATCTGGTATCAGTTACACATCCTCCTGGGCAGTAATTAAGTTGTCCTTTATCTCATTACCTAGCTAACATGATTAATTCCCTTCTTCCTCCATAAAGCTTTGTCTTCTGTGTTTAAGCCGTTGTCTTCTGTGTTGAAGCCGTTGTCTTCTGTGTTGAAGCCCTCGTCTTCTGTGTTGAAGCCCTCGTCTTCTGTGTTGAAGCCGTTGTCTTCTGTGTTGAAGCCCTTGTCTTCTGTGTTGAAGCCCTTGTCTTCTGTGTTGAAGACGTTGTCTTCTGTGTTGAAGCCGATGTCTTCTGTGTTGAAGCCCTTGTCTTCTGTGTTGAAGCCCTTGTCTTATGTGTTGAAGCCCTTGTCTTTTGTGTTGAAGACGTTGTCTTCTGTGTTGAAGACGTTCTCTTCTGTATTGAAGCCCTTGTCTTCTGTGTTGAAGCCCTTGTCTTCTGTGTTGAAGTGGTTGTCTTCTGTGTTGAAGCCCTCGTCTTCTGTGTTGAGGACGTTGTCTTCTGTGTTGAAACCCTTGTCTTCTGTGTTGAAGCCCTTGTCTTCTGTGTTGAAGACCTTGTCTTCTGTGTTGAAGACATTGTCTTCTGTGTTGAAGCCGTTGTCTTCTGTGTTGAAGCCCTTGTCTTCTGTGTTGAAGAGGTTGTCTTCTGTGTTGAAGCCCTTGTATTCTGTGTTGAAGACGTTGTCTTCTGTGTTGAAGCCCTTGTCTTCTGTGTTGAAGCCCTTGTCTTCTGTGTTGAAGCCCTTGTCTTCTGTGTTGAAGCACTTGTCTTCTGTGTTGAAGCACTTGTCTTCTGTGTTGAAGCCGTTGTCTTCTGTGTTGAAGCCCTCGTCTTCTGTGTTGAAGCCCTTGTCTTCTGTGTTGAAGACGTTGTCTTCTGTGTTGAAACCCTGTCTTCTGTGTTGAAGCCCTTGTCTTCTGTGTTGAAGCCCTTGTCTTCTGTGTTGAAGACGTTGTCTTCTGTGTTGAAGACGTTGGCCTCCAATTCTCCCCAGAGCAGGGGCAGGCAGTGGTGGAGGGGCTAGAAAAGTGGACCTGGTACCGCGTTAGCCTGGCAGCCTTCACTACATTTACATTACATTTTAGTCATTTAGCAGACGCTCTTATCCAGAGACCAGAGAGCCCGGCGCTGCTCTGCCACACGGACAACGATGATGAGTGTGTGTGGTGTCAGAGAGATATCAAACAAGCTTGAGACGAGAATGTTTGAATGGCTGAAGTATTAGTTTTGCTGATCGATGTATTGATTGAGAAATTAGACATTGTGTGTATGTGTGTGTTCCTCAGTCCCGGGTGCGGCCCCTCGGCAGGTGGAGGTCCAGCCCTTTAACTCCACTGCCGTTAGGGTCACCTGGCGATCTGTGTTGCCAAGGCAACGCCAAGGTCAGATCCGTGGTTACCAGGTGCACTATGCTTGTGTGGAGAGTGGCTCATCACGCAGCCTTCCCAGAATCAAAGACCTGCTATTGGACAACAGCCAGGTGAGGTCATCACCTTCTTATTTTTCTTACTTACATTTTTCGTAAAAAAATTATTTCATTTGAATATCTTCTCAACAGTCATGTACATATGTACTTACAAAGATAACATACATATTTGCCAGCTATTACACCTCTGCAGGTTATTGTTCAGCTAAAGTGAAGCAAATAATGTATCTCACTGAGTCTTTGCAGTATGCATCACCTCCCACCAATGTTCCCTCTAAGCTACGCGCATATACAGGCATGCCGCTCCCCCGGGACTGCCAGACCAGAAGCAATATCAGGCCAAGCACAAGATTGAACTTCACTCAACTTTCTAGAGTTTTCCCCTTTAGTTAACACTATCAACGTTTCCCTTTACTGTGGGAATTGTGATCGAATCAACGCAATATTAGCCACTTTCAATGCAACAGACCTAAACAAAACGAACTATGCAAGACTTAGTATGCAAAATTAACTATGCAAGATATTTTGTTGTAGGCAGAGTGCATCGGAGTAGGATTCTATTGCATTGACAGGCACGACTCAGACCGGTGCTCCATAACCAATCAGAGCTGCAGTAGGCCTATATGCAAATACATCATTGCCATATATGGATTTGTGCCATTAACTTTGAACTGGACTGTTTTACAGCATGAGCGGTCGTGATTATTATGTGCTTGTTTTGAGATCAAAGCGAGAGAGAGCTGCATGTAGCCACGTGTGCACATTTGTTCATATTCTTTGCTAGTTAGTGAGTTATTAGCCCAGTTATAGCTAATTTACAGTCAGAAATGTGAGAGTGATTGCTTCCTACAAGAGCGCAAAACGTGAACATTTCTAGCCATCTTTGAAAAGTGAGTCAGGTAAAGAGCTTAAAGGGGCAGTGTTGTATTTTGAGACAGGCTTGAATAAGCTAAGAAGCCAATAGGCAGAGGGTAGCATAATTTGTCTGATTCTCTGTAATAATGGTATGGGGAATAATAATGCATTTTGTTTTGTAAAGTGGTTTCTTGCATCAAACAACACTTTTAAGAAATCAGTCACCTCCTTGTCTGAAGGACAAGTGGATAAGCAGGATAATGTTAAGCACTGCATGTTTTTTTTCTAAAGTCTCATGGAATGTAGGCCTACATTGAACGCCACACATTGGCTGCTACTGTAAGCTGAATGATAGAACTGCTATTTCCATGTTAACATTTTATGTGATGTATTTTCTCCATAGTTTTTTATGGTAAGCCACTACAGTTTGGGCTGAAGAATGCAACTCTGGACACTGCGGTGGCGTTTTCGGCCAGGGAGCGAACATACACACTCACAGACGTAATGCCAGGGTTGACCTATGTCGTTATGGAGAACACTCTCACACACCCGTAGGTAAAAGTCAGTAGAAAAGCCAGACAGGTCGTGAACTGTGAGGTAAGTGTTGAGTCTGGGCTCCTTGGCTGACTGAACGAGGCTTTAGTTTAATACACATGGTTTGTTGCTAAAGGTAAGCTTTTAACTCCTTTTGGATAAACCTAACCTGTTCCAACCTTTGTTGACATGCTGTTAACGTGTTTTGTAGCCTGTACACTGCCCAATAGGCACTTAACCACTAACTACACACATTCTTCAGTTCTGTTGCTCTCCCTCCACTCTTCACTCTGATCAATCAATCCACATCTTCACCTCCTGCTGCTCTTCCTCCAATCCTTCATCTGCAGTTCCCACTACCACCAGATCAGATGAGTCTAAAGACCTGCTCCTACCCTCCATCACTCACACAGACACCCACTAACAGTTCTACAGGGTGGAAGCGGAGGAGTGGAGAGGTTGAATGGCACAGTGCAGTCTAAAGATGACCCTGCTTTGACTGTGTCTACATGTATCTTACAGGACTGTTATGTCTGTCTAACATCCCTTCATGCCCTTCACAGCGACCCAATAACTCCTTGAGAAGAGAGTTGTTTGGCAGTTACATATTGTGTGTGTTCTGTTCCGGAAATCTACCGGAGCAAATTAGGCTAGAACGAGATAAAGTAGGATTACACAGATTATGTCATCATAAAGAGGAGGAAGTACAGGGCACAAAGGAGCCAACTGTTCCTATCTCTTCTATTCTTATCTACTCTTATTTGATACCCAGTGTCCATATACATACTTCCTGAAGAATCTTGAGATGAATGACATCACTGTATAATTCTTCTTCATCTTATTTTAGGAATTAGGATCCTTTGTTATAGAACCCACTAGAATGGGTTGGTAGCTTCTCCACAAATGGTTAAGGACAGACGAGACATGTGAATGGGGTGGTCTATACCTCCACTGACCATTTTTCTGTTTTCCGTCTTCCAATCAGATGTCCCGAGGAACTTCTCAGTGAACCTGGCGACCAAGACGAGTGTTCTCCTGACCTGGGAGTTCCCTGAGAGCCCCTACCCCTACCATTTCACTGTGAGTGTTTGTGTGTGTGAGTGCGTGCGTGTGTGTGTTTGTGCGTGTGTGTGTTTGTGCGTGTGTGTGTGTGTGCGTGCGTGCGTGCGTGTGTGTGTGTGTGTGTGTGTGTGTGTGTGTGTGTGTGTGTGTGTGTGTGTGTGTGTGTGTGTGTGTGTGTGAGTGTGTATGTGTGAGTGTGTAAACACCTGTGTGTGTGCATATGCATACGTTTCAAGTTTTAATGTCAATTGCACAAGTAAAGTGAAATGCCTTTCTAGCAAGCTCTAAACCCAACAATGCAATAATCAATATCAATGTAGTATTCAAAATAAAAAAACACACGAGAAATAAAAAAGAAATAAGAACAGTAGAAATAATTTATATACAGGGTCAGTTCCAATATATGTACAATGTGCAGGGATACTGGAGTGATAGAGGTAGATATGTATAAGAGTAAGATGACTAGGCATCAGGATATATGATAAACTGTGTAGCAGCAGTGTGTGTGTGTGTTTGTGTGTAGAGTCAGTATAAATGTGTGTGCATGTTATGTGTGTGGGAGCAAATGAAGTGAGTGTGTGTATGAGTGTGTGTGTTGGAGTGTGTGTGTTGGAGTGCCAGTGTGCGTGAATGTATAGAGTCCTGTGAGTGTGCATAGAGAAAGTGCAAAAATACAAATAAAATACAAGGATCAACTTAGAGTCTGTGTATCCATTTTGTTAGCTATTTAGCAGTCTTATGGCTTGGGGAGCTGTTCAGGAGCCTGTTACTGTCAGACTTGATGCACCGGGACTGCTTGCTGTGTGGAAGCAGTGACAACAGTCTATGGCTTGGGTGGCTGGAGTCTTTAACGATTTTCCGGGCCTGATATAGAGGTCATGGATGGCAGGGAGCTCGGCCCGAGTGATGTACTGGGCTGTCCGCACCACCCTCTGTAGCACCATGCGATCGAGGGTGGTGCTGTTGCCATACCAAGCAGTGATGCAGACAGTCAATATGCTTTCAATGGTGCAGCTGTAGAACTTTGAGGATTTGAGGGCCCATGCCAAACCTTTTCAACCTCCTGAGGGGGAAGAGGCGCTGTCGCACCTTCTTCACGACTGTGCGCATGTGTGTGGACCATTTTAAGTCCTTAGTGATTTGGACACCGAGGAACTTGAAGCTCTCAACCTGTTCCACTGCAGCCCTGTCGATGTGGATGGGGGCGTGCTCTGAGAACGCGGCCCGGAATACCGTCCGGCCCCGCAGCCTTGCGAGTGTTGACCTGACTAAAGACCTTACTCATGTCAGCCTCGGAAAGCGAGATCACTGAGTCCTCTCGGTCGGTGGAGGCCCTCACGCACGGCATGGTTTGTTATTGTCGAAGCGTGCATAAAATGCATTGAGTTCGTCTGGTAGATAGGCATCATGGATAGATCATGGCTGGGTCTTCCTTTGTAATCCGTAATGGACTGTAGCCCCTGCCACGTGGCGGTGGAGGCCCTCACGCACGGCATGGTTTGTTATTGTCGAAGCGTGCATAAAATGCATTGAGTTCGTCTGGTAGATAGGCATCATGGATAGATCATGGCTGGGTCTTCCTTTGTAATCCGTAATGGACTGTAGCCCCTGCCACGTGGCGGGCGTCGTAGCCTGTGTAATATGATTCCACCTTATTCCTATATTGTCCTTTTGCACGTTTGATGACTCTGCGGATTTTGTGGCGGGACCTCTTGTACTTGTTCTTGTCCTCAGCCGTAGCCTCAGGGTTGTTCATCCAGGGCTTTTGATTGGGGAAGCAGCGAACGTTTATGGTGGGGACAACGTCGCCGATGCATTTCCTAATGTAGCCGGTGATGGAGGTGGTTAGCTCGTTGGATAGCCATTGGGTGTATCTTGTCCAAAAGCCATGTTTCGGAAAAGCAGAGAATATTGTAGTCAAGAGAGTCCTGTTGGTAGCAAATCCACAATCGGATGTCATCCGTCTTATTATCAAGTGACTGTACATTAGCCAGTAGAATGGAGGGAAGAGGTGGCAGGTTTTCCCTTCGCCTTAATCTCGCCAGGACTCCCCCTCTTTTGCCTCTGTAATGCCGGCGTTTCCTCTTGCATACCTCGAAAATTGGGTCAGAATTACAGAAAGAGCCCAGGGCAGATGAGTCGAAGTTGAAGTAGAAGCTGGAATTTGGGGTAAGTAACTGCCGATCTGATGTTCAAGAGTTATTGTCGGTTGTAAGAAATAATAGCGGATACATTTAGGGAAAATAAAGTAAAAATAAACGGCTAAAGAATCACAAAATAGCAAAGTTGGGTAGGAGCTCGCAAAATGGCGACCATACAGTACGGCACCATCTTATTATGTGTGTATATATGTGATCTTAACCGTAAGAAATACCCTCCCCTATCCTATTCCTTCCAGGTGGAGTATAACCGCCAGAAGATGGAGGTGGATGCCAGGCTGAGGAAAGCAGTGATCCCCAACCTGCAGCCAGATACCGACTATGACTTCAAGATCACCTCTGCTGAGGGCAACATGGGCGGGCTGAGGCACCGCATCTACGCCAAGACCTCTCCACCAATTGCCATCCGCCGTCCGGAGATTGACCACACCCGTGACACGGAGACCACCATCACCATCATCCTGCCCTCGCTGGAGAACCGCAGCCCTGTCAAGTAAGGGCTAGCCACAGGGTTGCTTTCTGATTATTTTAATGGGCATACGGTTGCATTCCAACAACATTAATGCGTTATACAGTAGTAAACTGCCACAGAAAAGTTGTAATTAAATGCCATGACAATCTGGTTGTTCCTCTGTCCTGTAGGAACCTGTATGTGGTGGTAGTTCCTCTGAGGAGGGCGAGGGGGGTCATTAGACATCTCAAGAGCCCAGACGAGATGGACCTGGAAGAGGTGAGAGCTAAGGCAAACCATCTGGGAACACATGAACTGGCTGGTCCTCTCTCTGAGAACATTTTACATTTTAGTCATTTAGCAGACGCTCTTATCCAGAGCGACTTACAGGAGCAATTAGGGTTAAGTGCCTTGCTCAAGGGCACATCGACAGATTTTTCACCTAGTCGGCTCGGGGATTAGAACCAGCGACCTTTCGGTTACTGGCACAACGCTCTTAACCACTAAGCTACCAGCCGCCAGAACCTTTGCTCTTTTAGATTTTCTCATGTGGTTTCTTAATGTTTACATAAAAAAACGCATCAGTAACATCCCCTCTCTCTCTTTCTCTGTCAAATGCAATGGAAAGGGAATTGAAATTCGTGGAATTCTGCGCGCTCTCGAGCCTGCTCCGCTCTTGCTCTCTCTCTCTCTCTCTCGGCTCCCCGCGGCGCGCGCCGCGCTCTCTCGCTATCTCTCGCTCTCTCTCTCCTCGTAGTCTATGCTCATCTCCCGCCTCTCTCGGGCCGCGAGAGCTCTCATCGCCGCGAGAGCACATCTATCTCCGCCAGCCGCTGAGTCCTCTCCCTCCTCATCTCCTGATCTCGCCCCTCTCTTACTCTCTTCGAGGTCCCTCTCTCCCCGCTCTGTCTGCCCTCGCTCGACAGTCTCGCGCGACCCCCCCCTCCCCCCTCCCTCTCTCGCTCTCCTCCCCCTCCTCGCCTCTCGTCCACTCCTGGCGATCCTCTCCCTCCTCTCCCCCCGCTCCTCCCCTCCCGTCTCCTGCTCTCTCTCCACGCTCTTTCTCCCCTCGCCCCTCCCACCCCCTCTCTGCTCTCAATCTCTCTCCCTCCTCTCTCTCATCTCTCTCCCCACTCTCATCTCGTTGTCTCCCTCTTCATCTCTCGTCCCTCTCTCTCCACTTCTCTCTCCATCTCTCTCCCTCTCTATCTCCCTCTCTCCATCTCTCTGTCTCCCTCTCGCTCCATCTCTCTGTCTCCCACTCTCTCCATCTCTCTGTCTCCCAGTTGTTGAAGGACAGCAGTCAGAGACAGCAGAAACAGGCAGACTTGCGCAGAGCCTACATCTCGGCCCTCTTCACCCCTGCTACTCTGCCCGCCTTTTTCACTCTGGGGGACCAGCTGGACTACGGAGGCTTCGAGAACCGCGCTCTAGAACCGGGACAGGAGTATGTGTTCTTCATCCTGGCGGAACTCAATGGCACAACAGTGGTACGGGCCAATCCAATTATGTTTCTTTTTGTGTGATTGTGTATACACTCTTAGAAAAAAAGGTGCTATCTAGAACCTAAAAGGGTTCTTTGGCTCTCCCCATAGGAGAACCCTTTGAAGAACCCTTTTTGGTACCAGGTAGAACCCTATTGGGTTCCATGTAGAATCCTAGGGGACAGCCGAAGAACCCTTTTGGAACCCTTTTTTCTAAGAGTTTATGTATTGTAGGACAGTGTGTATCCCTCTCACGTAGTCTTTTCTCTCATTCTCAAGAGACGTTGCAATAAGACAATAAAATACATATCAGTCAACAACTGTATAATGAAAATAAGGTTAATTTCCCCTGGCTAGCCCTTACTGTGCTCTGTGTTTGTGTATTGTAGAAGATGTATGCGGACAGTCCGTACACAGACCCAGTGATCGCTCCGGACTCTGACCCCCAGCCGCTGGATGCGGGGGATGGTCTGATCTGGGTGGTGGGACCCGTCCTGGCTGTAGTCTTCATCATCTGCATCGTCATCGCCATCCTGCTCTACAAGAAGTGAGTGAGACCCGGGGAGGGAGCACTGAACTTACACAGGGATTTTATAGCTAACACACTATAATAAGCTTACATGATAATGTTATAAATAGCTAACATGCTATAAGTAGCTAACATGCTAACACGCTATAACCAGCTTACATGCTAATATTATAACTAGCTAACATGCTACAAGTAGCTAACATGCTAACATGGTATAACCACCTTCATGCTAATGTTATAACTAGCTAACATATTAACATGCTATAACTAACTAACATGCTAGCATGCTCAGCACATACGGTGCTAGCCCACTATAACCATTGAAATGTAGCTACCTCAGCTTACACAGTATACTGGCATAACAGGCAAAGATACAATATCCAGCATTGTAAGGAATGACTGCTAGCCTGACCCAGCCGAAGAGATGTGTCAGCCACAGAAAGCCGGCCATTTTGAATACAAATGTATCATATTGATTTTTCTCTCTGTCACTCCCTCTGTCCGTCTCCTCTCCTCCTTTCATTATTAATTCCCTCACTTGCTCCTGTTTCGGAAGCAGCAAGCCAGACAGGTGAGTGTCGGCCATACTAATTAGTTGTCTTATTGTATTAGTGACATGTCTTGATCTCAAAGGACAGATGGTGCGGTGCAAATTCTAATGCCTAATTGGCAGTGCAGCAATTTATAGAAATGATGCAGTATAATAAATGTGTAACTTGTGTTCATTGAGCAAATAGATTGTGATGAATACTGTTAGACATTCATGAACTCTAACCTCTCTACTCTCTCTGGTGTGTCTCTTGTCTGGTGCCCCCCCCCCCCCCCCCCCCCCCCCCCCCCCCCCCCCGTTGTTTCCGTCTCCCTGGTCCCTGAGCAGTAAGAGGAAGGACTCTGAGCCAGGCACCAAGAGCCTTCTGGGTAATGCTGAGATGATGGCCCACCACCCCACAGACCCCGTTGAGATGAGACGCATCAACTTCCAGACCCCTGGTATGCATTCATACACTCACACACACATTCTTCGATAGCACATTCTTTCTTGAAAAAAGACAGAAATGTTTCTGAATTTATATGGTGGGAAAAACCCTTTTTACATCAGCAGTTGTCACAAAGTGCTTATACAGAAACCCATCCTAAAACCACAAAGACCCCAAAGAGCAAGCAATGCAGATGTAGAAGCACAGTGGCTAGGAAAAAGTCCCTAGAAAGGCAGGAACCTAGGAAGAAACCAGGAACCAGGTTCTGAGGGGTGGCCAGTCCTCTTCTGGCTGTGCCGGGTGGAGATTATAAGAGTACATGGCCATTAAAACCAGCAAGGTAAAATAATAATCACAGTGGCTTTTCATAGCCTGAGCATTCAGAGGTAGAGAGAGGTAGAGAGAGGTAGAGAGAGAGAGAGAGAGATCACATCAGTGACTCAACCCACTCAAGTCGAGTATAGCAAAAAAAGCCTGGCATGACGTGATGCACCCCTCATAGGGACGTAGTGGGAGAGCGTGAGCAAGCCAGTGACTCAGCCCCTGTAATAGGGTCAGAGGCAGAGAATCCCAGTGGAGAGAGGGGAGCAGACCAGGCAGAGACAGCAAGGGCGGTTCGCCACTCCAGTGCCTTGCCGTTCACCTTCACACCCTTGCACCAGACTACACTCAATCATAGGACCTACTGAAGAGATGAGTCTTCAGTAAAGACTTAAAAGTTGAGACCGAGTCTGCGTCTCTCACATCGACCATTCCATAAAAATGTAGCTCTATAGGAGAAAGCCCTGCCTCCAGCTGTTTGCTTAGAAATTCTAGGAACAATAAGGAGGCCTGCGTCTTTGTCACGCCCTGGCCTACAGAACTCTAGCTAGTTTGGTCAGGGTGTGAATATTCTAGGTTTGTATTTCTATGTTTGGCCGGGTGTGGTTCCCAATCAGAGGCAGCTGTCGCTCGTTGTCTCTGATTGGGGATCATACTTAGGCAGCCAGTTTTCCTGCCTGTGTTGTGGGATCTTGTTGTGTTCCTGTTTAGGCTTGTGTGTTAGCCCTTTGGACCGTCACGGTTAAGTTTGTTATTTTGGTTACTGTGTCGTGTGTTTATTAGTTAATAAACATGTACGCCTTTCACGCTGCACCTTGGTCCGACCCATCTCTTAACGTACGTGACAGTCTTGTGACCGTAGCGTACGTGTAGGTATGTACAGCAGGACCAAATCGGAAAGATAGTTAGGAGCAAGTCCATGTAATGCTTTGTAGGTTAACAATAAAACCTTGAAATCAGCCCTAGATTTAACAGGAAGCACTGGAGTAATATGATCGAATTTTGGGGTTTTAGTCAAGATTCTAGCAGCTGTATTTAGCACTAGCTGAAGTTTATTTAGTGCCTTTTATTGTAGCCGGAGAGTAGAGCATTGCAGTAGTCTAATCTTTAAGTGACAAAAGCATGGATTAGCTTTTCTGGATCGTTTTCTGACAAGAAGGTTCTGATTTTTGCAACGTTATGAAGATGGAAAAAGCTGCTCTTTAAATATTTTTTATATGTTCGTCAAAGACAGATCAGGGTCCAAAGGAACGCCAAGGTCCTTCACAGTTTTGTTTGTGATGACTGTACAACCATCGAGATTCATTGTCAGATCCGACAGCAGATCTCTTTGTTTCTTGGGACCTAGAACTAGCATCTCTGTTTTGTCAGAGCTTTAAAGTTTAAAAAAATCTGCCATCCACTTCCTTATGTCTGAAACACAGGCTTCCATGGTAAGCAATTTTGCGACTTCACCATGTTTCATTGAAATATACAGCTGTGTGTCGTCTGCATAGCAGTGAAAGTTGACATTGTTTCTGAATGACATCACCAATAGTTAATATACAGTACCAGTCAAAAGTTTGGACACACCTACTCATTCCAGGGTTTTTCTTTATTTTTGCTATTTTCTACATTGCCAAGAGTGTGCAAAGCTGTCATCAAGGCAAAGGGTGGCTACTTTGAATAATCTAAAATAAATGTTTTTATTTGTTTAACACTTTTTTGGTTACTACATGATTCCATATGTGTTATTTCATAGTTTTGATGTCTTCACTATTATTCTACAATGTAGAAAATAGTAAAAATAAAGAATAACCCTTGAATGAGTAGGTGTGTGTGTCCCAACATTTTGACTGGTACTGTATATATAGTGAGAACAATGGTGGTCCTAGAACGGAACCTTAAGGAATACCAAAACTTACCATTGATTTGTCAGATGACAAACCATCCACAGAGACGAACTGATATCTTTCAGACAGATAAGATCTAAACCAGGGAAGAACTTGTCCGCATAGACCAATTAGGGCAATAAAGAACAAAGTAAGTGAATTTCGAGTGTAGAAAGTTACCACAGCAAACACACCAAACAGGGTCAGGTTTTATAATAATCTAAAGCTTCCACCAAGGTTTCATTTCCTAAGAGATCAAAATGGCTGTCCTCCAGGTTAGTACACTTAGATGAGTCATAACTGGGTGACGGGCGGCACAGCACGGCCCAAACCCTGTAACCGTCTGTGTCTGCCTGCCCACAGTCCACCTGGCAGGCTCTAGATAGCCATGCCAGAGAGGACGGAGGTGTCAACACAGTCAGAACTCAAAACAAGTCCATAACCTATTAGTTCTTCAAAAGATTAAAGGTGAGAGTTAAAGTTACAGTTAGCTAATAGAATCATATTTCTGGATAGAAAACGTGGTACATTTATTACGTTCTTCCCTGCATGGCCAGACAGAGCTGAGCTGACCCACTCTGCCTCCACACCCTCTGTGAGTCCCACCTCCAGCTGCTCTGGTGTTAAATCCCATGGCTACGCCTCCACCACTTCGTGCAACCCTGTGTGTTACAAGGAACTGCCCCCTCCCCACAGAAGGAACTGTGTAATATATATATATATATGTAAAATATATACAGTGGGGGAAAAAAGTATTTAGTCAGCCACCAATTGTGCAAGTTCTCCCACTTAAAAAGATGAGAGAGGCCTGTCATTTTCATCATAGGTACACGTCAACTATGACAGACAAAATGAGGAAAAAAAATCCAGAAAATCACATTGTAGGATTTTTAATGAATTTATTTGCAAATGATGGTGGAAAATAAGTATTTGGTCACCTACAAACAAGCAAGATTTCTGGCTCTCACAGACCTGTAACTTCTTCTTTAAGAGGCTCCTCTGTCCTCCACTCGTTACCTGTATTAATGGCACCTGTTTGAACTTGTTATCAGTATAAAAGACACCTGTCCACAACCTCAAACAGTCACACTCCAAACTCCACTATGGCCAAGACCAAAGAGCTGTCAAAGGACACCAGAAACAAAATTGTAGACCTGCACCAGGCTGGGAAGACTGAATCTGCAATAGGTAAGCAGCTTGGTTTCAAGAAATCAACTGTGGGAGCAATTATTAGGAAATGGAAGACATACAAGACCACTGATAATCTCCCTCGATCTGGGGCTCCACGCAAGATCTCACCCCGTGGGGTCAAAATGATCACAAGAACGGTGAGCTAAAATCACAGAACCACACGGGGGGACCTAGTGAATGACCTGCAGAGAGCTGGGACCAAAGTAACAAAGCCTACCATCAGTAACACACTACGCCGCCAGGGACTCAAATCCTGCAGTGCCAGCCGTGTCTCCCTGCTTAAGCCAGTACTTGTTCAGGCCCGTCTGAAGTTTGCTAGAGTGCATTTAGATGATCCAGAAGAGGATTGGGAGAATGTCATATGGTCAGATGAAGCCAAAATATAACTTTTTGGTAAAAACTCAACTCGTCGTGTTTGGAGGACAAAGAATGCTGAGTTGCATCCAAAGAACACCATACCTACTGTGAAGCATGGGGGTGGAAACATCATGCTTTGGGGCTGTTTTTCTGCAAAGGGACCAGGACGACTGATCCGTGTAAAGGAAAGAATGAATGGGGCCATGTATCGTGAGATTTTGAGTGAAAACCTCCTTCCATCCGCAAGGGCATTGAAGATGAAACATGGCTGGGTCTTTCAGCATGACAATGATCCCAAACACACCGCCCGGGCAACGAAGGAGTGGCTTCGTAAGAAGCATTTCAAGGTCCTGGAGTGGCCTAGCCAGTCTTCAGATCTCAACCACATAGAAAATCTTTGGAGGGAGTTGAAAGTCTGTGTTGCCCAGCGACAGCCCCAAAACATCACTGCTCTAGAGGAGATCTGCATGGAGGAATGGGCCAAAATACCAGCAACAGTGTGTGAAAACCTTGTGAAGACTTACAGAAAACGTTTGACCTGTGTCATTGCCAACAAAGGGTATATAACAAAGTATTGAGAAACTTTTGTTATTGACCAAATACTTATTTTCCACCATAATTTGCAAATAAATTCATTAAAAATCCTACAATGTGATTTTCTGGAAAAAGAATTCTCATTTTGTCTGTCATAGTTGACGTGTACCTATGATGAAAATTACAGGCCTCTCTCATCTTTTTAAGTGGGAGAACTTGCACAATTGGTGGCTGACTAAATACTTTTTTCCCCCACTGTATTGTATAATTAGATTATTTGTGGCAGATAGCTGAACAATTAATTAATTCAGCACAGGTGTTGTTTAATCAATGTATTCATCTGTTTGATATTTGGTGTAACAGATTGTTTTCTTACAAATATGCCTATATTTTACAACATTGCTCATTGTGCATTGAGAAGATATGTTCAGGTGTCCAGAACTGTGGAAAATGTATTTTGGTTTCTGGCACAAAATGGATTATATTTCATAGCGCACTCTACCCTAGATCTTACAATTATTTACATTGTATAGGGGCTAACGCTAGTCCTCCACACCTTTACCACCCACTGTGTGTGGAGAGGCTCAGGGTGCCATTCTGACTAATTAACACTGTCTCTGTTTGTTTTCTCTGAGTCATCGCTCGCGCTCCTAATCACACAGAAAAATCATTTCCACATCAAAGGAAAACACTTTCCAAACCAACCAAATCGGAGACTTTGTACCTGTGGTGCTATACGTTTCGTATGTTGTTTTTTTACTCTGTGATTGTCTTTTGCATCTAGCAAAGAACCGGTAGTTAATCTTGTGCAATGACAAAGGTGTGTGTAGGTGTACTTTACATACAGTCTTGTGTGCTTCCAGGGCTTATGCCTAGGTAGGATTTAGTTTAATGGGCTAACGCGATCTTGAGCCACACTGGCCACCTGTGTTAGAAGCCCACTTGGTCACACAGTGAGCCCTCATGACCTCTGACCTCTTCCCTTTAACCCTTGTCCCTGTCCTTTAGGTATGATGAGCCACCCTCCCATTCCCATCACAGAGCTGGCTGAACACACAGAGCTGCTCAAGGCCAACGATAACCTGTGTCTGTCTCAGGAGTACGAGGTGAGAGTGACAGCATGGAGGGTGGATGAACATTAGTCCTAGGAACTGGTTTTCTGCTCAAGAATGTGTACCAGTTGCCCCTTGGAAACTAAAATGGCATCCTATCCTAGACTCCTATAAATGAGGAGAAAACATTGCAACTGTTGTGTCCATCCTGTAACTCTTCATCTCTGTTTCCTGGTCTCTCCAGTCCATCGACCCTAGTCAGCAGTTCACCTGGGAGCACTCCAACCTGGAGGTGAACAAGCCCAAGAACCGCTATGCTAACGTCATCGCCTACGACCACACCCGTGTCGTCCTCGCCCCCATAGAAGGTTCAAGTCCAGGTGCAGTGTATAGCTTATGAGATGTTGGCCTCACTTGTAAGACAATAAGTCATTGTACAGTGAACGACACGCTTCCTCTTGTCCAGGTAGAGGTCAAGTACTAGATGGATTTAATTCAGGTTGTAGGGGCAGGGATAGTCTATAGTCCTGAACTAAGACATTTTCAATAACGTGAATCGAACTTAACAACTCTCCTCTTCCCCCCACATTCTCCCCCTCCATATGAAGGTATCCTGGGCAGTGACTACATCAATGCTAACTACATAGATGGCTACAGGAAGCAGAATGCCTACATCGCCACACAGGGCCCGCTGGCAGAGACATTTGGGGACTTCTGGAGGATGGTGTGGGAACAGAGAGCAGCCTCCGTGGTCATGATGACCAGACTGGAGGAGAAGTCACGGGTGAGACGGGACAGAGACAGGAGAGGGCAACACTCATCCACTCACTGACATTATCTACTGTAGGGCAACACTCATCCACTTTGTTTGTCCCCATAGGAGAACCATTTTTGGTTCTAGGTAGATACATTTTTTTTTTACCATTTACTCGTGAAAGGGTTCCACGTAGAACCTAGTATTAGTGAAAGGGTTCCACTTGGATCCCAAAATAGTTATGGTTCCAGGTAGCACCTTCTTTTCTAAGAGTGTACTGTAGGGCAACACTCAGCCACTATGAAGGGGACTAGGGCTCTGTCAGTCACAGTAAGGTGGAGTCATCCACTCACTGTCATCCACTATTTAAGGGCTCTGTCATCCCCTGTAGGGCACTACTGTCATCCACTCACTGTCATCCACTATTTAAGGGTCTGTCATCCCCTGTAGGGCACTACTGTCATCCACTCACTGTCATCCAATACTCTTAGTCACTGAAGGTTACTAGAGGGCTGTCACCCACGGTAGGGCACTTTATAGGGCACAGTCATGAGTCATCCACTGAGGATGATAGGGTACTGTCATCAGCTGTAATCAATCGGCTGCCATCCATTCAAAGGCACTGCCAGTAATCTTAGCATCAGAGCCATATTGAGATATCTAAGTAGGTCAAGACAATTAGGCTGATAGATTAGTCTTTTCTGGTTATGTCAAGTTGTTTTTTATGACAATAATAATGAGAATGACGATGATGAGGACGTTAATTTTGACATTGAAGACGATGACGAAGATGAGGTGCTGCTGCTGAGGATGATGTTAATGTTGTTGATGATGATGATGATGTTGTAAATGTTGTTGTTGATGATGATGTTGTTGATGATGATGTAAATGTTGTTGATGATGATGATGATGTTGTTAATGTTGATGATGATGTTAATGTTGTTGATGATGATTATGTTAATGTTGTTGATGATGATGATGTTAATGTTGTTGATGATGATGATGATGATGATGATGTTGTTGATGATGATGATGACGATAATGTTGTTGATGATGATGATGATGCTGATGAGTATGACCCTGACAATTATGACATTGATGTTGTTATTGATGATGATGATGTTCCTGACAATGATAATTTTGATAACAGTGGTGCTGATGAAGGTGTTTCTTCCTCCTGTAGATAAAGTGTGACCAGTACTGGCCGAGCCGGGGTTCAGAGACCTATGGGATGACTCAGGTCACCCTATTGGACACTATGGAACTGGCCACCTTCTGCGTACGCACCTTCTCCCTGCACAAGGTCAGTACACACACGCATGCACACAAACTTTACACACACACACATGCATAGAAGCACACCTAAGCACTCACTCAAACACACAAACTCCACCTCACCTCCCTGGCTCTCTTTGGTCTTATCTGCCTCCGTCCAGTCTTTTCCTCTCTTTTGGTAAATCGCCTGTCATTTGCTGTTGATTCATTTACTGTCATGCCCCGTGATACTTTGACACTGTCGGCTAATGAACCAGAAACAATTTGAAGGGATTTTAAGTCAAATCTGCACTGTCAGCCTGTGAGAACAGAGCAGAGAACAAACGGGGGTTTAGTAGGCAAGTAGAGAATGGGGGAGAAGAGTTGCATTAGATCCAGGCAGAAGAAGCAGGAGCATGAAGAGAGGCTCAGAGCCTCCTATAGACTCTAGCCGATCGAAAGAGGAGGAAAGAAGAGAAGGAGGACTAAGAGGGCAGACGACGCTACGCAAGCGGGTCGGGGCGAGCATGAGCTGAAGCGAGACGAGCGAAGCGAGAAGCAGACGAAGCCAAGAGACCGGGAGGCAGAGAGAAAGACGAAGAAGACAGCGGAAGAGCGACGAGCGACGAGTAGCACGAGCGGGCAGAAAGTCCGTAGAGGCCGAGGAGCAGGGGAGAGCCGCAGGTGCGGCGCGCGCGCGAGAAGAGAGCAGAGAGGAAGAGCGAGAAGAGAGGCGAGCGGAGAAAGAGAGAGACGAGCGAAGCGAGATGAGAGAAGCGAGCAGAGGACCGAAGCAGAAGGCGAAGAGGAGAGGAGAAGGAGAGAGGAGGGTAGTAGAGAGAAGAGAGGACGCGGAAGTCAACGGAGAAGAAGGAGAGAGGAGAGCGAAGCGCAGCGAGAAAGGCCGAGCAAGAGAGAAGAGAGCAAGGGAGAGAAGAGAGAAACCGCCCGAGCGCGGGCGGAGGAGCGGTGAAGCGAGCAGAGCGAAGGTAGAGACGCCGGCGAAGGAGGAGAAAGAAGCAGCAGCCGAGCGACCCCACCAGAGAAGCAAGAAGAGAAGCGCGCACGCGCGCCGAAGAGGAGCGAGGAGAGACGGAGAAGCGAAGGCAGCGGAAAAGGAGAAGTGAGAGAGAAGAGAAACGGGAGGAGGGAAAGAGGAAGAGGAAGCGAGAAATAGCGAAGAGCGGAGAAAACGAGAGAAGCGAGGGAAGGGAGGAGGGTAGACGAGAGAAGAGAGTAAGCGCGATAAGAGAAGGAAGAGAAGAGAGGACGGAAGAAGACGAGAAACGAGAGCCAAGAGCGAAGCGAGAAGAGAGAGGGACAAGGAAAGGAGAGCAAAAGGCGATGAAGGCGGAACGAGGCAGAGAGCGAGAGGAGAAGAGCGACGAGGCGGCAGCGCCTGCGCGACGCGCCCCGGCGCGAGAAGCGACGAGAGACCGCGCGCCGGAGCCGCGCGCGCGAGCCGAGCGAGACGACGAGAAGAGACGACCGTACGGAAGAGCGAAGAGGCAGGAGCCGAGCGAAGAGAGCAGAAAGAGGCGTCGCCGTCTCGGCGCGATACGCGACGGAGAGGCGGCTGCGCAGATGAGACAAGGCGAGGCGCGAGCCCGCGCGCAGCGGCCGAGGATCGGGACGAGAGACGATGTGCCGAAGCGCCCGTGGCGGCGCGCGAGGCACCGCGCGGCGCCAAGCGCACCGCGCGGCGCCCGGACGCGCCCAGAGCCGGAGAGAGAAGAGACGGAGAGGAGCTGGAGAAAAGGAAACAACAGACGCGGCGAGCAAGCGCCGCGCGGCGCGCGACGCGCTAGAGCGGAGCGCGACGCGACCAGGCTGACGGGCGGGCCCCGACGTCGCCGAGCGCCGCGGGAGGAGAGCGACGAGCCGCCCGACGGGCCGCGCGGCGGGAACCGCGCGACGCGCCGCGCGGCGCGAGGGCCGCGCGGCCGCGCGCCGAGAGCGCCGCAGCGCGACGCCCCGAGCGGCGGCCCGCGCCGCGGCCGCGCGCCGCGCGCGCCGCGAGAGAGGCCGCGCGGCGCGTCCGCGGGGCGTCGATAGCGGCGGCGCGACGCGCCGCGCGGCGCGCGGCACCGCGCGGCGCCCGACGCACGGGCCGGCCCAACGCGACGCGCGGAGCGCGACGCGCCGCGCGGCGCGCGACGCGCCGCGCGGCGCCCGACGCGCCAGCGCCGCAGCGCCGGCGACGCGCCGCACGACGGGCCGCGAGGGCGAGAGCGCGACGCCCGCGCGGCGCGAGTCGACGCGCGGAGCCATGACGCCCGCGAGGCGGCCGACGCGAGCGCTGCGGCGAACGGTGCGCGGCGGCGAGACGCGCCGCGCGGCACGCGACGCGGGCGCCGACGCGAGCGCGGCGCGAAGCGCGCGGACGAGCGACGAGCCGCGCGGGCGCCGCGCGCACGCGCCCAGGAGCCCGAAGCGCCGGCGCGGCGCGCGAAGCGCCGCGCGGCGCGGCGACGCGCCGAGGAGCGCGCGGGCGCGCGCCGCGCCGCGCGGCGCGCGAAGCGCCACCGCGTCACGCGACGCATCGCCCTGGACGGCCGCGGAGAGCCGCGCGGAGCGCGATCGCGCGCGCGAGGCGCCGCGGACGTGACGCGCGGCGCCGACGCGCCGGGAGAAGAAGCCACGGCGCCGTCAGCCGCGCGTAGAGGATAGGCGACCGGAATAGTACGTCTGCAGCGCGACCGCCCGCGTGGCGCGGGCGCGGACGCGACTTCGGCGCGCGAAGCGACGAGGGCGCTGACGGCGCGCGAGGCGAGCGACGAGCCGCGCGGCGCGCGACGCGCCGCGCGTCTCTCTGCTCGTCCTTTCTGCGTCATGACGTCGCGCCTGCGGCCGCAGATGGCCTTCTCGGCCTATCCTCCCCGGCTCTTCTTCTACTTCCTCTCTTCTCGTCCGACGGGGCCCGTGCGCGCCGCGTGGCGCGCGACGCGCCGCCACGACGGCGCACGCCGCCAAAGAGGCGGGCGGCGCGGAAGCGCCGGTGCGCCGGGACGGGCCGCGCGGCGCCGGACGCGACCCGCGGCTGCCGACGAGCATCCGGGGCACCGAAGCGCAGCGCGGCGCCCGACGAGGCGGCGCGGCCGCGACGCACCGCGCGCCGCCCACGTCGCGCGCGGCGCGCGACGCGGCGCCCGCTCGGCGCGCGAAGGAAGAGGGGAGAGCAAGAGAGGAGAGGAGAGAGAAGAGAAGAGAGGAGAGAGAAAGAGGAGAGGAGAGAGGAGAGAAGAGGAGAAGGAGAGAGAAGAGAGGAGCGAAGAAAAAGAAACAGACAAGGGGTTGTGGGTGTCGGGGCTGCGCGGCGCCGCGCGGCCGCCGCGCGGCGACGCGGAGGGCGCCGCGCGGCGCGGCGACGAGCGCGCCCGGTAATCTGCGCCGCGCGCCGCACGACGCGGCGGGCGGCGCGGGGACGCGCCGGGCGCCGGACGCGCCGCGCGGCGCGGACGGCCCCGCGGCGCCGACGCGCCCCGCGGCGCCGACGCGCAGCGCGGCGCCAGACGCGGCGAGCGGCGAGAGACGCACGAGGTACGAACTAAGCGCCGCGCGGCGCGCGAAGGCCGCCGAGGAGCGAGGCGCGCAGCGCGGGCGGCCGGCGCGCCGCGGGCGCGCCGCGAGACGCCACGAACCGCGCGGAGCGAGACGCGCCGAGCGGGCGCCGCGCGGCGCGGGCGAGCAGCGCGGGCGCGCGACGCGCCGCACGAAGCGCTCGCGCGGCGCACGCCGAGGCGGGCGGCGCGGGACGCGCCGGGACCCCGCGCGGTCCGGACGCGCCGCGAGAGGCCCGACGCGCGCGCGGAGCCCGACGCGGCGGCGCGGCGCGGACGCACCGCGCGGCGCACCACGCGCCGCGCGGAAGAGACAGCGCGGCGCCCGACGCCCCCGCGGCGCGGCGCGTCAGGCGATAAGCGAGGAGACAGACGCGCAGCGGTGCGCGGACGGGCCGGTGACGAGCCCGGCGGCGCCGACGCGCAGCGGCGACGCGGACGAGCGGCGCGGGCGCCGACGCGCCGGCTGACGCGCGCGGGCGCGCGACGCGCGTGCGGGCGAGGCCGAGCCGCGCCCGACGCGCCCGCGCAGCGAGGCGCGCGACGCGAAGTCGGGCCGCGCGCTACGAGACGAGAGGCGAGACGGGCAAGAAGAAAAGCGAGGAGCAAGATCGGATGGCAGCCGAGGCGAGACGACACGACGAGCCGCCGGAGCGAGACGCGCCGCGCGGGCCATAAGCGGCGAGGGCGCGCGGACGCGGAAGGGGGCGCGCGACGCCGCCGGGAGGCGCGCGACGCGCGCGCGGAGCGAAAACGCTCCGGCGCGGCGCGAGACGAGCCGAGCGACAGAGCCGCGCCGAGCGGCGCCCGACGCGTCAGCGCGGCGGCGACGCGCCGGGCGCAGCGCGCCGGGCGGCGAGAGACGCGAGGGTGAGCGCACGCGCGCGCGTCTCACGAATGCTCCTGCTGCTGCGAGAACGCGACGGCGATCGGCCACGAGAGGAGGTAGCGAGAGCGAACATGGGCTGCTCTCATTCTTCTACAATCCTCCTCGTATCCCGCGCCACTCGCCTCTGCGACTCGCCTCTCTTCTCTCTACTCTCCTCTCTTCTCTCTACTCTCCTCTCTTCTCCCTACTCTCCTCTCTTCTCTCTACTCACCTCTCTTCTCTCTACTCTCCTCTCTTCTCTCTACTCTCCTTTCTCACAGATTTGCTCTAATAGTTGTAGTAATGATAATAATCCCTTCCCCTCTCAGAGTGGTTGTAGTGAGCTGAGGGAGGTACGTCAGTTCCAGTTCACTGCCTGGCCGGACCACGGTGTACCAGAGTACCCCACCCCATTCCTGGCCTTCCTACGCAGGGTTAAAGCCTGCAACCCCCCTGATGCTGGTCCTGTCATCGCACACTGCAGGTACGAGGATACACACACATACCCACACACACACATATACCGCACACACATATACCAAACACCTGCGACACGCACACAGCACATACTCGCACACACACACACACAAACACACACACTGGATCCAGTCACCCACACATGACAGGCTGTCCTGAAGAATTGCCACTGACAGTTCAGTAGGTATATGTTTACACTCATATATATTTTCCTCTCTTTCTTTCTCTCTCTCTTACCTCTCTCAGTGCGGGCGTGGGTCGTACCGGTTGCTTCATCGTGATCGACGCCATGCTGGAACGGATCAGACACGAGCGCACGGCCGACATCTACGGTCACGTCACTCTGATGAGGTCACAGCGGAACTACATGGTGCAGACGGAAGACCAGTACGCCTTCATCCACGAGGCGCTGCTGGAAGCAGTGGCTTGTGGGAACACGGAGGTGGCGGCCCGGAACCTGTTCTCCTACATGCAGAAGCTGGGCAAGGTGGAGAGTGGAGAGCACGTCACCGGCATGGAGCTGGAGTTCAAGGTAAACATAGAAATATAACAGATAGAACAGATATACGTCACCGGCACGGAGCTGGAGTTCAAGGTAAACATAGAAATACCAAGTATCGAAATACATACAGTAGCATACATTTTGAATAGAAAACATGTAGAAATATAGTAGAAATAAAGAGTTATTCAATGCAAGTACAGAATAAAAATTAGGAAGAATGCATTGCCCTTTAACTTTGTTAATAGGAATGTGTTTCGGTGGGGGAAAAACTAAATCCCCCTCCCCTCTTTCTCCCTCCCCCTTCTCTCTCCCTCCCCCCTCTCTCCCCCCACCCTCTCTCCCCCCAGCGTCTGGCCAACACCAAAGCCCACACGTCTCGGTTCGTCAGTGCCAACCTGCCATGTAACAAATTTAAGAACCGCCTGGTCAACATCATGTCCTATGAGACCACCCGCGTCTGTCTGCAGCCAATCAGAGGCCTGGAAGGATCAGATTACATCAACGCCAGCTACATTGATGGATACAGGTACAACTTAACCAAGGAAGAAGATTTAGTAATATGGGCATCCCATTTCAAGGCATTGTTCCATGATATGTGGACCAGTAGCCATATTTTGGGTCTCAAATTAAGCTTATAACATAATTTAAAAAATCTTAATTTTAGAGATGTGTCCATTCTATTTCTATGGTGTCTTTACATTAGATCAGAACCCTTTATAACACAACACCCATCATCTAATGTGTGTAGGCAGCAGAGAGGTTACATGGCTACCCAGGGCCCACTGGCTGAGACCACAGAGGACTTCTGGAGGATGCTGTGGGAACACAACTCTACCATCGTGGTCATGCTCACTAAACTGAGGGAGATGGGACGGGTAAGGTTACACACACACGTGCACATACACACACAAACGCACTTGCACACGCATGCTCATGCACGCATGCTCGCACACACATACAAACACATACACACACATACAAACACACTCACAGACACAAATACATACCTGATGCCATCTCTGTACCTCTGTGTGTACCTGCAGGAGAAGTGCCATCAGTACTGGCCCGCAGAGCGGTCAGCTCGGTACCAGTACTTTGTAGTGGACCCCATGGCTGAATACAACATGCCTCAGTACATCCTCAGAGAGTTTAAGGTCACCGATGCAAGGGTGAGTGTGTGTGTGTGTATATATTTGTGTGTCCACAATACTGTATATCAGGGGTGTCAAACTCATTTTAGCTCAGGGGCCACATGGAGGAAAATCTATTCCCAAGTGGGCCGGACCGGAAAAATCGTGGTATATATAACTTAAAAACAACAACTTCAGATTGTTTTCTTTGTTTTAATACGATCAACATACAACATAAAGCTGGAGCCTGAGGACAGTGTGTCCAAAATAGTACAAGCACAACATCACTATTAATCATAAAACACGTCAAGTTTATTTGAAAATTCTAAAGAAAAAGAACACACAAACACACAATGCCTCAGTGATTAACAGAACTGTTTCACAGATCACAGAACTATATCAGGGTGTCATTTCTCAGGCAGAAATGTAGATAAAAATAATGAAATCCTGTTCCCCAAACAAGTGCAAGAACCACAGAGTCAAGAATAGGTTAAATATACAAATAAAATAAAATCAATTAAAAACAATAGCACATCAACATAAAAACATATAAACATAAATCTGAAAGCGTTGCTCAAACTCCCGTAACAGTCCAGTTATTTTATCTTTGAACCGCTTCATGTCTGCCGCATTTTGGGTCGCGCACACATTTTTCAGACAGGGGAAGTGAGCTGCATCACCACCGGCAAGTTGCGTCTCCCACAATGACAGCTTCAACTTGAAAGAACGTATGCTGTCATAATACTGCGTGACAACTTTGTTGCGCCCTTGCAGCTGTTTGTTCAAGTTATTCAGGTGCTCTGTAACATCCACCATAAATGCAAGGTCCGGCATCCATTCTGCGGAATGAAATTCTAACACTGGTTTGCCCTTTTCTTCCATGAACTGTTCAATTTCTTCTCGTAAATCAAAGAAACGCCTCAGCACAGCACCTCGGCTTAACCATCTTACCTCAGTGTGGTATGGCAGGCCATAGATGTGGTCTTTCTCTCTGAGAAGGCTGTCAAACTGACGGTGATTCAGGCTTCTGGATCGGATGAAATTAACAGTTTGGATGACCACCTTCATGACGTTATCCATCTTTAATGACTTGCAACACAAAGCCTCCTGGTGCAAAATACAGTGAAAAGTCAAAAAATCACGTCCTCCATTTGCAGATTGCACTTTCTCTCTGAACTTTGTCACAACGCCTGCTTTTTTCCCGATCATTGAGGGCGCACCATCTGTAGCCAGGCTGACAGCGCGGGACCAGTCCACTCCGACCCTGTCCAGCGCGCCGACGAGTGCGGTAAAAATATCAGCTGCTGTCGTTGTATCTGTCATCGGCACCAACTCCACGAACTCCTCGGTGACGGTCAATGTGTCATCAACTCCGCGGATGAAAAAATGGCCAGTTGTGCAACATCTGTAATGTCCGTGCTTTCATCAATTGCAACCGAAAACGCAATAAATGACTTTACTTTTTGCTTCAACTGGCTGTCCAAATCCACTGAAAGATCGGAAATCCTGTCTGCAACTGTGTTTCTTGTCAGGCTGATATTTGCAAAAGCCTGCCGCTTTTCAGGGCACACAATCTCCGCTGCCTTCATCATGCATGTTTTTACAAATTCACCCTCACTAAATGGTTTTGAAGCCACTGCGATTTCATTAGCAATGAGGTAGCTAGCTTTCACTGCAGCGTCACTGATGTCTCGGCTGTGAGTAAACACAGACTGCTGTTTCTTCAGACCCGCCAACAGTTCATTCACCTTCTCTCATCTCCGCTGTCCTTGAAAGTTGTCATATTTGTCGGCATGAAGACTCACATAGTGGCGACGAAGGTTATATTCTTTCAGCACTGCAACATGCTCTGAACACACCAAACATACAGCTTTCCCATTCAATTCCGTGATTAAATAGGATGACCATTTTTCTTGGAACACTCTGCACTCTGCGTCCACTTTTCTCTTTTTTGACAGAGACATATTGGGGCAATGAGGGTGCCAAAGCACATAATGTTAAAAGTAGAAGCCGTAATAAATATTGCGGGCAAAACAAAGTAGCTCATTGGCTGCACGTGCTTGACCTACTTGCTCTGCCCCGGTATAAACAGTTTGCTTGCTTAACACAATTGATATTGCGCCATCCAGTGGACGCAATTGGAACAGCAGTTTATTTTATTGAAAAATTGCAGTGCATTTTTATACTTAAAAAAAATAAAAATATTGTTTTTTTTTTTTTTTGAAATCATCTCGCGGGCCGGATTAAACCCGTTTGCGGGCCTGATCCGGCCCGCGGGCCGTATGTTTGACACCCCTGCTGTATATCCTCCTCAGACAAGGCAAGGTCAATGACGCAAGGCTGTGTGCCTGTGTGTGTTTTTCATGTTGCTTGTAAATTACATCCCTTTTGTAGCATATTTGATATTGTAATCAGACACCCTGATCTCTCCCCTCTCTCCTCTATCTGTCGCTGGCAGCTAACATGTTCCATCGATCCACAGTAGATTACACAGTAGTCAACCCTGTCCTCTCCTGACGCCCTGATTGTGTGTGTGTGTGTGTGTGTGTGTGTTCGTGCATGCTTGCATTCCTGTGTGTGTGTGTGAGCCGTAGATTACTCCAGTTAAGCCTGTCCTGTCCTGACGGCCCATTGACAGATGTTGTATTGATCTCTGTCAAAGTGGAGTCACGCCGTCTGAGCAGAGAACAGGCAGGACACAGAGTCTGGCAGACAGGACAGGACAGGACAGGACTCATACACAGACAGAAGATGAGAGGGATGGTGTTGGTGCTCAGCCACCAGAACAGACCTGCAATCTTATGATAAGACACAACTCTGGTAATAGATAGTCCAATAGCTTGTTTGGTTAAAGCAGTAGATGGGAAATCTTACCTTTACTTATCCACTCACATACAGATCAGTGCTTACCAGTAACAATATGGAGGAAAGTCTGAGTATTCATACTCCACATTGCTCTCATCACCACTTGTTTTGCCCGTTCTCCTATCAGGATGGCCAATCACGGACAGTTCGTCAGTTCCAGTTCACCGATTGGCCAGAGCAGGGAGTTCCTAAATCTGGAGAGGGCTTCATCGACTTCATTGGCCAGGTGCACAAAACCAAGGAGCAGTTTGGACAGGACGGCCCAATCAGTGTCCACTGCAGGTAAGAGTCATTGCCATAGCTGTAGGTTTGACTAACAATGCATTCCTCTGATATACTTCACACGCCTCATATTCTGATTACTGATGTACATTAGTCTAGCCGCTATATTGGTAAGTGTGTGTGTGTGTGTGTGTGTGTGTGTGTGTGTGTGTGTGTGTGTGTGTGTGTGTGTGTGTGTGTGTGTGTGTGTGTGTGTGTGTGTGTGTGTGTGTGTGTGTGTGTGTGTGTGTGCGTGCGTGCGTACGCAGTGCGGGTGTGGGGCGGACCGGAGTCTTCATCACTCTGAGTATCGTTCTGGAGAGGATGCGCTACGAAGGAGCTGTGGACATCTTCCAGACTGTCAAGATACTGAGGACACAACGCCCTGCCATGGTACAGACAGAGGTAGGCTTCACAGTCACACCAACACCTGTCCCAGTCTCACTGTTTAAAACAATAGATATCAGACAAGTACATGTGGTTTCTCTGTGTCTGGAAGCCACAGTAATGGTAGGATGTTGCTCTATCCTGTCTATTTCCCTGGATCAGGATGAATACCAGTTCTGCTACCAGGCTGCCCTGGAGTACCTGGGGAGTTTTGACCACTATGCAGCCTAAGAGAGGAGAGGAACTGTCATCCCTCGATCCTTCTGTTCAGATAAGAGGTCCACAGAGATGCGAACGAGAGGTGCAGGTTGGAAAATGACAAAACAATGAACCTTATATCCCACTGGAGGGGCGACGCTACTAACAAGGAGTTATTATACAAGAACAACAACAGCAACATACAAATCAATAACATACAAAACAACAACAACATACAAAACAACAACAAAAACATACAAAACAACAACTACTAGACAAACGTCAAAGAAAACCTGCACTCTCAGGAAAGACCTGCAAAGGTTGTGTTGGGAGTCGGAGACAGACTATTACATGTGTAGTCCTGCATATTCTTCTTACCTCAGTGTTCAAAATGTGGAGGACGTATAATACCTGTGTGTGTTGTGGTCATCTATTTCAAAAACGAAACCAGTGAAAAACAAACCTGCTTCAGAAACAGGAGTTATGAGATACATGTATAAAAAATACAAGGACACAAAAAGCCTGGATATCTGCTGCACCCTAAATGGGCTTTCTATCTTATCTTTCTATCTGTGGGTTTAGTGTACGAGGGGGGAACATTTCCACGTGTCTGTCGCTCTGCATTCCTGGTGTCTGTTGCTGCCACAGCTAGTCCTGATCCGCAGCACGGTTTTAGACCTATAGAACTAGAAGGACGATTTGAGCTGCATGTCTGTGATTGGACACCAGACTCTCCTACCCACAGTGCCAAGAGAAACCACGCTGTTCCGGGGCAGATGGGAAATTAACTTTGACCTCTAATGAGAAGGAGGAATGGTACCCGTCTACATCCAGCATACATGATGATCCATGAGTTCCAGGTTGAGGTTGCCTGTAGGCACAGATCTAGGATCAGTTTACCATCCAGCAATCGTGACCTAAACCATTTGGGTGGAAAAACAAAATGGACCTTAGATCATTGTCTGGGTGCAACTTCACCCTACTCCAAGCGTGGATCAATATTATTAGAAGTCAATGTTCAGTCATTCATGCTTTTCTTGCTATGTGCTGACATCTTATTACAGAGAGTAATGACAGTAAAGGTTAAACACAGTTTAGGCAATTCCATTTCAATCTCAGCCAGTCATTTCGGGAGATGCACTGAAATGACATGTATGAATTGAAAATTGGCTATATTTTCCTTGGAGGACCATTTCGATGAATGAACAGAATTTGAGTTCATCTCCTTTTCGGGAGATGCACTGAAATGACATGTATGAATTGAAAATTGGCTATATTTTTCTTGGAGGACCATTTCGATGAATGAACAGAATTTGAGTTCATCTCCTTCATTGACTGGAGTGTTTTTTGGGGGGATCATTTTCCACATTCTGCAGAAATTATTGTAATGATCCTATTCATTGTGGTTCAGTGTCTTTGCCTTATGTTTCACCATGTTGGTTCTCAGCTGTTTACGCTATATCCCATGTACTTGAGCTAAGCAGTGAGTGTCATAATGTAGCTTGCACCTACTTGAATTCTGCCACTCTGCATTGGAATGGTCCTGATGGCTCAGTGGGTTGGAGTATTGTTCTGACAACACAACGGTTGTGGGTTCAAATCCTGCTTGGGCTACATATACAGTACTGAGTATGTGTGTAAACCGTGAGTTGATTTGGATGAAATTAGTTTTCTTGATAAACCACGTAAGTCCCCATGGGTTGAGAGTAGAACTCATTCTCGCTTCTCTCTCCCTCACTCCCGCCCACAGTAAGACAGGACTCTTCACAGCTTCTCTCCGCTCTGTCTCTGCTTGTAGTCCTACTGTACAGAAAAACTAAAGGACACAACCTTTAGTCCACTCCAGCATCCCCCACAATCCCTTTAGATATCGTCCTCTCCTCTTATTGATTTGACGTTCTATAATCTGTTGCCCCGATACGTTGTGATTGAACAGCACAGTATGAACTTAGACTGTATATACTGTGTGACATATAGAGTTCTTTATAATGCAGTACATAGGCCTGACTGACGTATAGTTAAGCAATAAGGCCCAAGGGGGTGTGGTATATGGCCAATATACCACGGCTAAGGGCTGTTCTTACACACGATGCAACACGGAGTGCCTGGATACAGCTCTTAGCCGTGGTATATTGGCCATATACCACAAACGCCCGAGGGGCCTTATTGCTATTATAAACTGGTTACCAACGTAATTAGAGCAGTAACAATAAATGTTTTGTCATACCTGTGGTATACGGTCTGATATACCACGGCTGTCCACCAATCAGCATTCAGGGCTCGACCTACCCAGTTTATAAAGTTATTTATAACACAGTACATAGGCCTGACTGAAGTATAGAGTTGAAACAAGTGGGGCATAATTATTATCATCAAAAAAGAGCCTTATTGACTTTGTCAAATATTTATTTGATATGATTTTTGAAATATATATTATCTTTCTATTGTGTTACTGTTATGGCTCTTGGTTTTTACTATTGTTTGATTTGTTTATTTACTGTTTTGTTTTGGGGAAATAACTGAATATAACCAATGAGATGTTGTTTACTTGGCAAGCCAATTTTACTGTATGATATCGTCCGTTTTTTTTAAGTGCTTTTTTTATTTGCTTTAGTATATCGTATACAGAACCCTGTCCTCATAGACAGATACTTAGATTCAGACCTAGTTTCAGTTTACAGTGACCCCTCTTATCCCTCCCCTATCATAGCACCAGTGGTACGATCCTGTCGCCAAGATGGGTTTAGGGTGTCAGAACATAGAGAGTTTACATGTCGAGCAAAGTATAGTAGTTGGTGAAAGTTTATGTTGCACTGTATTCAGTGAACAGTGACATTTGAGTTTGCTACTATAGATAGATAGAGTGTATAATGGCATTTTGGCACAAAAGGTGGGGAAAGGCCGCACAAAAAGACTTTGAAAAACGGACAGACCATCATTACTTTCATTAACAATGAAATTATCTTGATATGAAATTTAAGTGTGGTCCAAAAGTCTATCTGGTGTGACTTAAAATTAACATAAAAATTATGACTATATAATATATACACTGAACAAAAATATAAACACAACATGTGAAGTCCCATGTTTCATGAGCTGAAAAAAAAGATACCAGAAATGTTCCATACGCACAAAAAGCTTAATTCTCTCAAATGTTTTGCACAAATTTGTTTACATCCCTGTTAGTGAGCATTTCTCCTTTGTCAAGATAATCCATCCACCTGACAAGTGTGGCATATCAAGAAGCTGATTAAACAGCCTGATCATTACATAGGTGCACCTTGTGCTTGGGAGAATACAAAGGGCACTTTAAAATGTGCTGTTCTGTCACACAACACTATGCCACAGATGTCTCAAGATTTGAGGGAGCATGCAATTGGCATGCTGACTGCAGGAATGTCCACCAGAGCTGTTGCCGGAGAATTGAATGTTCATTTCTCTCCCATAAGCTGCCTCCAACGTTGTTTTAGAGAATTTGTACATCCAACCGGCCTCACAACCGCAGAACATGTGTATGGCGTTGTGTGGGCGAGCGGTTTGCTGATGTCAATGTTGTGAACGGAGTGCCCCATGGTGGTATGGGCAGGCATAAACTATGGACAACGAACACAATTGCAATTTATCTATGGCAATTTGAATGCACAAAAACACAGTGACGAGATCCTGAGGCCCATTGTGAGGCCCATTTGTTTTAAAGTATCTGTGACCAACAGATGCATATCTGTATTCCCAGTTATGTGAAATCCAAAGATTAGGGCCTAATTTATTTATTTCAATTGACTGATTTCCTCATATGAACTGTAACTCAGTAAAATCTTAGAAACTGTTAAATGTTGCATTTATGTTTTTGTTCAGTATAAATATACCTGACATAAAAGACCCACAGAGTAAACATGTGACATCAAGCGAGGGCCAGTTCCTATGACATCACATGATGACATCACATGTCATCACCTTTAACCTGGTACCTGTTATTTCCTTTAAACCCTGGATGTAGATAATATTGTATGTTGATTTTGTATTAAAAGCCGGATGATTGGATATACCGCATAATGAGTCATTTGGTTCCATTGTCATTGTATGAAAAAATAAATGTATGCACTAACTGGTCGCTCTGGATAAGAGCGTCTGTTAAATGACTAAAATGTATGTGAGTGTCTGACAGCTGGCTGAGAATCACTGTAAAAGTATAGGACTGAAAACAAGGGAGAGATGAGGAAGGAATAGTACTTTTTAATTAGATTAATCTCAAGGAGAAGGAGGGTGTGAACTGTGAAGTGTATGCTTAAACTTTTTCCACTAGATGGAGTCCAAACTACCTTTCTTGCTGGAACATGGCTCCCCACTCCATCCATAAATGTATTCACAGTCACACAGATGCCAAACTGACACATTCTGATTGTATGACGACAGCCCAAATGGTTTTCTTTAAATCAAATACAATTTTATTGGTTGCATACACGTATTTAGCTTGTGTTCCTAGCTCCAACAGTGCAGTAATATCTAACAATACACAACAATAAAAGTAAAATAATTGAAATAAGAAATGTATAAATATTAGTCAGAGCAATGATTAGTATGAGCAATGTCGGTGTCCGGAGTATATATATGTATATATATATATATATATATATATATATATATATATATATATATATATACTGTATATATATATACACTACCATTCAAAGGTTTGGGGTCACTTAGAAATATCCTTGTTTTCGAAAGAAAAGCAATTTTTTTTGTCCATTAAAATAACATCAAATTGATCCGAAATACAGTGTACACATTGTTAATGTTGTAAATGGCTATTGTAGCTGGAAACTGCTGATCTTTAATGGAATATCTACATAGGCGTACAGAGGCCCATTATCAGCAACCATCAGTCCTGTGTTCCAATGGCATGTTGTGTTTGCTAATCCAAGTTTATCATTTTAAAAGGCTAATTGATCATTAGAAAACCCTTTTGCAATTATATTAGCACAGCTGAAAACTGTTGTGTTGATTAAAGAAGCAATAAAACTGGCCTTCTTGAGACTAGTTGAGTATCTGTAGCATCAGCAATTGTGGGTTCGATTACAGGCTCAAAATGGCCAGAAACAAATAACTTTCTTCTGAAACTCATCAGTGTATTCTTGTTCTGAGAACTGATGCTGACCATCTAGGCAGAGTTGCAAAGAAAAAGCCATATCTCAGACTGGCCAATAAAAAGAAAAGATTAAGATGGG